TTAAACATTAAAACAAAAAAGTTCAGAGATAAATGGGTTTGCATCTATTTTATTGGGAGAAAAAAAAAACCACCGCAGAATTCCCAATTTAAGGACACAAGCAACTTTCAAAGTTTCATGAACTGCTCCAACAAAAAGTTCTATCACTATTTTGAGTCCATTAATAAACCATTTTTCCTGGCCTTTGGATAAAGTAATTAACTTCTGATATGAATTGGACAAATCAAAACTAATCACCGAACCTTTTGCCCATAATAATAGAGCCTAATTCTCTTGTTCGGCAATTTGTTGTCCGGCTAACTATCTCTTGCCTAACCCTAACAGATCTGTCCTAGTGTCCTGTCCTTGAAGCCACAAAACAATGAGTTCAGGAAAGGAGACTTCAAACGTGTCCTCAAGTACAACATCTGAATCCACTCAGTCATCAATGGTTTTGCAATCCTTTGAAGGATCGTCACTGCAAATAACCAACCATAGATTGGATGGTAAGAACTTTCTTCAATGGTCCCAGTCAGTTCTAATGGTTATCCGAAGGAGAGGAAAGTTGGGATACATCACTGGAGAGACTCAGCGACCCAATATAAGGGAACTAGCCTATGCTAATTGGGAACTCAATAACTCACTGGTCATGGAATGGCTGATCAACTCAATGGAACCTCACATCAGTCTCACCTACCTATTTCTCCGAACTGCCAAAGCAATTTGGGATGCTGTCATTATGAACTACTCTGACCTCGAAAATGCATCTCAAGTTTTTGAGATTAAAACTCAACTAAAGGAAATACGACAAGGTAGTATAGATGTAACTGAGTATTATAATGAGTTACAAATACTTTGGCGTGAGCTGGATACGCATTATGAAGCTGATTGGGGAGATCTTGAAGGCAATCTAAAGTTGAAAAGGTATTTAGAGAAGGAAAGATTGTATGAATTCTTGACTGGCCTTACACAGGAGCTCGATGAGGTGCGAGGAAGGATACTTGGGCATAGACCATTGCCCTCTATTGATGAAGCATTTGCAGAAGTAAGACGAGAAGCCAATAGGAGACGTGTTATGCTTGGTGGAAAAAAGGACTCCGTGTCTGACTTGACTGGAGAAAGGTCAACTGATACAGCAGCTCTTGCTGTACGCAATTCCTATAACAGATTTGGTGGAGATCAAAAAAATAATCAAAATAATCAGAGAGGAGGACGTTCTTGGTGCAACCACTGCAACATAGCTGATCATACCCGTGATACTTGTTGGGATATCCATGGAAAACCATTGAATTGGAAGCCTCGAGGAACAAACAAAAATGATTTTCAAGTAACATTAGAGGAGAAAACTAAGGAAATCAGTTCTAGCCATGAGTCAAATGGTTTATTCCTAAGCAAGTCTCAACTGGAACAGTTGCAAAAATTGTTAGGTCAATCAACACTGAGTAATACAGTTGTTAGTGGTTCTGCCCATAAAGGTACAACTCTTCATGCAAAAAATACAAATACTTGAATGCTTGACTTTGAGGCATCTGACCATATGACAGGTAACTTGTCTCTATTTCAACCTATACTCCTTGTCACGGGAATTTCAGAGTTAAAGTAGTAGATGGTACCTTTTCTCCTGTCATTGGAAAAGGCTTAATCCATCACTCAAAGGAGATTTTTTTTAAGTTCTGTCCTTTATGTACCAACCTTTGCTTGTAACTTGATCTTTATTAGCAAGATTACCAGTGAGCTTAACTGTATTGCTGTCTTTTTTGGCAACTCTTGTATACTGCAGGACTTGGAATCAAGGAGGATGATTGGCAGCATTAAAGAAGAAGGTGGACTCTACTGTTTTGAGGATACAAATACAAGACTAAGCAAGCTACTGTGGTTGAGAGTGACTGCTTCTGCTACCAATAATAATGCAATAATGTTATGGCACCGCAGGTTAAGACATCCAAACTTTCATTATCTTAAACATTTGATTCCAAGTTTATTTATAAATAAAAATCCTAGTTCTTTCAATTGTGAAATTTGTCATCTTGCTAAACATACTCGTACATCCTTTCCAATCCAACCATACCAAGAGTCTCGTCCATTTTCCTTAATGTATAGTGACATATGGGGACCTTCTAATATAAAAAATATCTCTGGTACATGATGGTTCATCACCTTTATTGATGACCACACTCGAATTTGTTGGGTTTATCTACTTAAAGAAAAATCTGAGACTGCAAAAACATTTTAAAATTTTTATTCAATGATAATAACCCAATTTCACACCTCTATCCAAACATTAAGAATTGACAATGGAAATGAATATTTTAATGCAATTCTTGGACACTACTTTGAAACTGATGGAATAATCCATCAAAGTTCATGTTCAGACACACCTCAGCAGAATGGTGAGGCAGAAAGAAAAAATCGTCATCTTCTTGAAATTGCTAGAGCCTTAATGTTTACCATGCGTGTCCCAAAATATCTTTGGAGGGAAGCTGTTCTAACAGTCTCTTACCTCATAAATAGAATGCCCTCTCGAGTTTTTAAATTTAACTCCCCATTGTCAACTTTGCTAAAAACTTACCCAACCTTTTGTTCTATTTCCTCCATACCACTTAAGACTTTCGGTTGTACAGCTTTTGTACACGTCCAAAATCGTTCTAAACTAGACCCAAAATCCGCCAAATGTGTCTTTATTGGATATTCTCCTACTCAACGTGGGTACAAATGTTATTCTCCATCACTTCATCGCGTTTTTGTGTCCATGGATGTCTCCTTTTTTGAGTCTCAATCTTTTTTTCAGAATACTTATCTTCAAGGGGGATTTCAGGAGAAGATAAGTCATGGGAAATACTTGAAACAGAATCCTTATCCCTGTCTCCCTCTTCCATTCCAACCCCAATTCCTAATATTGAATCTCAACCTACTATGTCACTCAATACACACAAGGAAACATTGGAAACAGGGAGAGATAACTCCCAACCACAATTGCTTGTTTATTCACATAAGAAACATTCTCAAAAGGGGAGAACCCTGAAACTCAGCATGGTCAAGAGTCTAACCAGAATCTGAGTCCTGTTGTCGAAGGTACTAGTGAACCTGTTCAGCATGATATTGAGCTTCAAAACCACACTTTAGATCTGGATATTCCAATTGCTCATAGAAAAGGAACCAGGTCTTGTAACCAGCATCCTATATCCAGGTTTGTCTCTTATGAAAGGTTGTCCCCTGAATTTCATGCTTTCACTACTTTATTGTCCAGAATAGAGATACCAAAAAATATACAAGAAGCACTTGCTGACTCGAAGTGGAGAGCAGCTGTTCAAGAAGAAATAGGTGCCTTGAACAAAAGTGGCATATGGGAGATTACAAAACTCCCTGAAGGGAAGAAAAAAATGGGTTGTAAGTGGGTCTTTACAGTAAAGTTCAGTGTTGATGGTAGTATCAATCGATACAAAGCTAGGCTTGTAGCTAAAGGCTTTACTCAGACATATGGAATTGACTATCAAGAGAGCTTTGCTCCAGTGACTAAGCTAAATACAATAAGAGTTCTTCTCTCCTTAGCCTCTAATCTTGATTGGCCACTACAACAATTGGATGTAAAGAATGCATTCTTAAATCGTGACTTACATGAGGAAGTTTATATGGATGCACCTCCTGGATTTGAGAGAAAGGATAACCTTGTGTGTAGATTGAAAAAATCTCTTTATGGGTTGAAACAATCTCCTAGATGGTGGTTTGGAAAATTTACTGAAGTTATCAAGAGTAGGGGTTTTACTCAAGCACAATCTGATCACACATTGTTTTACAAGCACTCTAAAGATGGAAAAATAGCCATTCTTATAGTATATGTAGATGACATTATCCTAACAGGAGATGATCACATAGAATTGACTTCTTTAAAGAAGTACCTAGCAAGAGTGTTTGAATTGAAAGACTTGGGGGCTCTAAGGTACTTCCTTGGTATGGAAGTTGCTAGAAGCAAATTAGGGATTACAGTTACACAACAAAAGTATGTACTTGATCTGCTTCAAGATACACGTATGTTGGGTTGTAGGCCAACCGAGACACCTATGGATCCAAATACTAAGTTAGATATTGAAAGAGGTAGAGAGGTTGATCGGGAACAGTATCAAAGGCTTGTAGGGAAGTTGATTTACTTGGCACACACAAGACCAGACATTGCCTTTCCAGTAAGTGTGATTAGTCAGTTTATGCATTCACCTAAGGACACACATCTTAATGCAGCCTATAGAATTTTGAGGTATTTAAAGAATACTCCTGGTAAGGGTTTATTCTTTAGGAAAGGTGAACATAGAATGATAGAAGTTTATACTGATGTAGACTGGGCAGGTTCTCCCTTGGATACAAGGTCAACTTCGAGTTATTGCACATATGTCTGGGGTAATCTTGTAACTTGGAGGAGTAAGAAGCAACCTGTAGTTGCTAGAAGCAGTGCAGAAGCTTAGTTTCGAGCTTTAGCTCAAGGTATTTGTGAAGGAATATGGCTAGGGAGATTACTTAGAGAATTGAAGATATCTAACAGCTTTCCCATGAAGCTGTATTGTGACAACAAGGCAGCAGTGTGTATAGCTCAAAATCCTATCCATCACGATCGAACAAAACACGTAGAAGTTGATCGACACTTCATCAAGGAGAAGATTGACAATGGAAGTGTGTGCATGGTTTATATCCCTATTAAAATTCAGACAGCTGATATTCTAACTAAAAGCTTGCATAAACCAAGCTTTGAAAATTTAGTAAGCAAGCTGGGAATGATTAACATATACGCTCCAGCTTGATGGGGAGTGTAGAAAGATCTTGTATGGTTAGCCTATTCTGGAAATCATTCTATTTTAGGAAGTAGATCATTAGTCTCCTAAGTATTTGGGGTCAATTTCCTAAATAGTAGTTGTCACTATAATTTAGGGATTTATATGTTTTTTCCTAAAGAAGCAAATTAGGAAAAGATCTCTGCCTATAAATATGTATAGTCTTACCTCAATGTACAGAATAATAAAAAATATATTTCTCTCCTAGAAACTTTCACCATGGCTGACATTACTTTCAACAACATGAGACCTACAAGGTACCAAGATGAAAGAGTTGGCAAATGGGGCTACTTCCTAGCTAATGCTAAAGGAAAGATCAGAAATACATGAAAGAAACTATTGCTATATCATTACCTGTCAAAATCTCTGCTACCCAGAAATCCTCTTTCCCTGCCACCTTGAAATGATTTTCGTTCATCAGCAGGCCTTGTCCAAATATCTGGCTGGCCACGAGATCGAGGCCTATCCATGAACTCCATACTTCTAGACTCATCAAATGAGCCAGATCGCGAAGGCGGTCTCTCTGAAAACCCAGAAGCCCTGCCTGCCCCAGAACCTGGCCTTTCAATGGCTTTCGGTCCAAATCGAACCTTGTCATCCAAATCACGAACCAACATTACTAATTCCCTCTCTTTCTCAGTTATCAGCTCCCTTAAACTGGGTAGATTGTCAACAGAAACTTGTTGAGGTTCCCGATTCACTTTTGTTGTAAGTTCTTTATCAAGCTCCTTCTTCAAATGCTCTATTTGTTCTTTCAATAACTTTTCCTCTCCAGTTTCTGGCCTAAAATGATTTTTACAGTTAGTATCAAGAATACAAGTTCATCAGTCAGCATGAGAACCCAGGACACAAAGTTGACAGTGCTGAAAATGAGCACCAACATAGAAAATAAATTATTCTATAGCATCCACATACAACCAGAGAATCCAAGGTCACAATACAGAATTTAAAATAAAGAAGGAAGCTACACAAATACAGCAGAAGTTTCAGTTCTTAAAGGGAGATGCTGCAGATTTACATGGAACTTTGAGAAAAAATTAATCAAAGATCGCATGAACAAGCAATTTGGAATTTAAAAGAAAAAATTGCGACATAACATCACTTGTCTGCAGTTCTGTGCAGTTATGACCATTAAGTTAATCAAAATGCAGAGGGAATGAGAGGAGAATGAAAACAAGGGGAAGAAAGGAAAAAAACGCCAACCACAGGATTGAAGATTACCAGTTCAGTTAACTGACAAGGCTTTCAATGTTATTAGGTCCACACCATCCAAATAAATGCACATAATACCACATGCCACAATAATCTCAGCATGGATACAATATAATTAGCAGCTACATTCATTGTTGCATAGACAGCAATAACATGAACCTGGAAAAGAAATGCCACAAGTAGCAGTAGCACCATCTACATAAAATTGAGACAGGTATAGGCACAAATTTAGTTGTCATGTCTATACAGATAACCAAGAAAACAGCCAAAAAAAAAAAAAAAAAGGAAAAAGAGTTGAATTCTTTTATGTCAGTCCAAACAGAAACAACAAAAGTCAGTAATTAGCATGGTGAATACAGGTACACTTAAAAAGTAAGTCAACACACAACCACCAAAAATTTTACCAGCAAATCAGTAACACCAAAGTAATTTTTGCAACATTACTGCAAAAACTTTAATGAGTGTATGCTTAATAAGAAAACCAGTGGACTACTGTGCATTTTGAACTGCAATGTATTCTACTTCAATCGGTATTTTTAAACAAAATATGTTTAAAACAATAAGTAATTCCACATAATGATTACAAAAAGTTCTATTCACTCTATCCCACAAAGAGTGCCTTATTTGACAATATATGAAGATTAAGAATGACTACTAAATGCCCTCCCACTTCACACATTTTTTTTATTGACTTCCAACATTGTCCTTTCAAATTGAATGTTGTTGAAGTGCTCCATTTAGTTTTATTTCGTTTTTTATAAAGGGGCAAAATAGGAAAGTAAGAGAACAAATACTTCATCTTTTTTTAATGGGAATATTTAGGAACAAAACTAAAAGGATCTGAGGAGAGTCTTTGTGGGACGGGAGCATATTTATTTTTTGCAATTGGAAAAATATTCTTGTAAATATAACAACCTTAAACTCAGCTAATTAACTTTTGGAATTGTGTCCATAAAATGGGCATGGAGGCCAGAAGCATCAGCATCCCTCCACAAAATTATAAGATGTGCGGTGTCCATAAAATGGAAATGGGAGAGAAGCATCAGCTAACCCCAGGCAATGAAGGAAGTATATCAATAAATGAGCACAATTGAAACGGAGACAGAAGAGATAGATAAGTTGAAACAAAAAAATATGTGAGAAATTTATGCATCCATGAGAATTAGGAAGCAGCTTTAATGAAAGTGAGCTGATGGAAAATCATCTAAGATGTTTTGGCAATATGCAAAGTGGATTTATGCATGCATCACTATGAAACAATGATTGGATTCAAGTTATAGATGCAAAAAAAGGAGTTGAGAAAAAGACAAAAATAATAGAAACCCTTTGTATGTATATGGATATCTGTGTGCGTCTGTGTTGGTTTTGCTAACCTGCCCCTTGTGCCCATTTTTCTTCGGACAAAAATTAACCTTCAATTTATATATTTTAAGGGCATATGTATCCATTAATAACACACCTCTCTAAGTTTTTCTTTGTTTCTCATTGAATGCAAACCCTTTTTTCATTTTTTTTTTTGCAATGAAGATCATAAGCATACAAAATCAAATGGACAAGATTAACCTCCAACCAACAAAACCAAGCAAACATTTTGGCCCCTTGCATAGAACATCAAAACTTATAGACAAAAAGGAGAATGTCTACACAATGCCCATCTCTTATTTTTCTTTGTTTGTTTGCAAACATTATATTTGTGGCATATCACCAGCTGAATTCAATTCAACAAATAAATGTCCTGAGATCACCAGTAATACAAAAATCTAGCTACCATTGACATGGACTATCCATTCAATAATCTAAACTAGTCAGTTTTAAGATGATGTTGAAACTTTCAGCGCTAATTTAAAAACAGATAAATGACAAGAACAGATTACGAACACAAGTAGATGGGCAAATTCCCAATCTGGAGGTGTATTTCCTCATGCATGATGATGGCAAAGATAACAATACGTCATTCAAACGGTTATTGAGGGAAGAAAAGGAGAAGATGAAGAGGGGATAAATAAGACACAAAAATGCCCTTGAAGAAAAACTCCTTTTTCCCCCCTAAAAAAAGGGTATTTGTGTAAGTAGACACAATGAGAACCTGCCCAAACAGTTGGCAGGCTATTGTATATATGCTAAAAGTACAAAATCTAAAAACAGAACCCATGTCTTTTTTAGTAAAACTCACACTCTTGTACTCAGATCTATGCGCTGATGAAACTAAAAAAAGATGCCACCTTTTGACATGAAAACCTGACAACATCATCCATCAAAGTATGGCGATCTAGTAATGAAATTTGGTAAGGTAAGACTTCTTCTTCTTATGCTATTATCAGTTGTAACAAAAATTTCTCATCATAAAGCATGATCATCCACTTACTGAAAATAAGAAAACTAAAAAACTAAACATATAAACCTGTTTGCACAAAAGATGTTATCAGGAATTCCCAAGTATAGAGGATTGAAGACTTGCCAACTGTAAGGCTCAATTGCAAATCAAACCAATCCATGACCAACTACATGATCTAGAAAAATTAGAAACAGTAACTCAACTTGCTTAAGCATGTCAATGGTAGGTGCAGATGTTGCAACATAATCCCCTTCGGTTCAGCCACTTAGCCCAAGAGAAAAATACTTAAGTAGAAAAAACTCACCATGAGATAATTAATATTTTTGTTTTCCAGCATGTGAAAATGAATAAAAAACAGAGGAAACATAGGAACTTTTATTTGAGAAACACAAAAGCTACAATAAGGTTTCAATAGGAACTGATGATGCGGAGCAAAACTTGTGTCTTTTTGTAGACAAAGATATTTTTGTAATTTCTGGAAAATCTGAAAATTCGTCTAAGTTTAGGTTTTATTTTCTATTTTAGTATTTTATTAGTTAGTCCTAGAAAGTAATTAGCTTTATTAGGTTTTTCATAATCGAAATAGACTTGGTATTTTCTTATTTAGGAATCTAAGTCCTTGTTAGATTTGGACTACTAGAAATCTATAAATAAGTATGTAACCTTTCAATTTTATGAATGACGGTTTATGAATAAATCCCAGCAACTTATTTTTGATTGTGGGACTCAATCTCTCTTAGTTGTGACTCCTAAGAACCCCTGATGCGAAGCTTAGGTTTTCTATCCTCTAAGTGTGACTCCTAGAAACCTACCTACATATTTCCTCATATTTTCGCAGAAACTGACTTCAATACAACCATAAACACCCCTAATTGGCCTCCAAAGATCAGATCCAGAACAGCCCCTAAGCTGTACTGCATCAGTTGGTATCAGAGCTTCAAGATCCTAGAAGTTTTTTTTGCTGCGTTCTTCAATCATGGTGACTGTCAATGAAGTCAATACAAAATTTGAAGCCTTTCAGCTAGAAGCTGAAGCAGGCAAAAGAGCTGCGGATGAAAAGTTGGATAATATTGAAGGAAAATTTGATTCCAAGCTTGCAGCAATAGAGGAGTCAATAAAAAAGGCTTTCGAAAATTGTTCTAGGCAAGCAACTCGCTGGCACAACAGCTGACGACTCTTTTCCACAAACTCAAGGTGTTGTAGCTACCCAGAATACTCAACGAGCTGCATTGCCAATCCAAAGAAGGGAGCAAATCGACCCACAAGACACTACTAGTGATATTACAAAGAAAGTAAAGGTTGATGTTCTTGATTTCAAAGGAAAGGTAGATCCTACACTATTCAATGATTGGATTAGTTCTATGGAAACCTCCTTTAATTGATATGATAAGTCGGATGAACGGAGAGTAACATTTGCCAAAATGAAACTAGTTGGGTTAGCTAAAATTTGGTGGTATCGTGTCGAGCAAGACATCAATAGACAGAGACAACCCTCCATTACTACTTGGGATGAGATGAAAGGTATTCTCGAAGAGAGGTTTTTGCCATCTAGTTATCGACAAAGAATACATGAGAATGCCTACAACGTACAGCAAATCAGCTTGTTAAATGCTAATTACATGCTGACTTGTAATGAGTTGAGTTTAGAAAACAAAGGGAGAAAAAATTGAAACAGGAGAAAATCAACTTTTGGAAGCAAAAAGGTTCACATGATCGGCAGCAAAACCTGTGCAGCCATCTAATCAGCGTGAACAACAACAGGAGGAACAATTCCAGCAACCTAAGGGCCATGAAATGAAGGTAAAAACAGTACAAAAAGGATGTTGGAAGGTCTGAAGAGAAATTTCAGCAAATAGGAACTGAAAATCAGCATGTAAGAAAGAACTTCAGGGGACAACTAAATGACGAGGTCAAAGAAGTAACAATTGACATGCCAAAGACAGTAGATTTTGTGAATGAGAAAGAGCAATGGCATCAAGGATGCTCAAGACAGAGATAAGCAAATTGTACAAATCAATCATATTGCTTCCCTTCTGCCACCCAAGTTTGGTGATTCAGTTATAGGGAAAGGCATCATATTTTCCTCACTGTTTTCACTTATGGCAAAGGGTAATTGGTATCAAGTTCAAGGGAGTGGCTTCAAGCTATGGGATGAGGTGTGGAACGTGTGGTTTTTGCTACTTCGACGCATCAAAACTTGAGGTCAGGTTTTCTCCAACCAGGGGAGAATGATTCGGACAACAAAGGAAGCAAAACTTGTGTCTTTTGTAGACAAAGATATTTCTGTAATTTCTGGAAAATCAGGAAATTTGTGTAAGTTTAGGTTTTATTTTCTATTTTATTATTTTATTAGTTAGTCCTAGAAAGTAATTAGCTTTATTAGGTTTTTCCTATTCTGCATAGACTAAGTATTTTCTTATTTAGGAATCTAAGTCCTTGTTAGATTTGGACTACTAGAACTCTATAAATAAGTATGTAGCCTGTCAATATCATGAATGACGGTTTGTGAATAAAATCCCAGCAACTTGTTTTGATTGTGTGACTCAATCTCCCTTAGGTGTGACTCCTAAGAACCCTAGTTGCGAAGCTTACCCATGTATTTCCTCATATTTTAGCAGAAACCGACTTCAATACAACCATAAACACCCCTGAACAGACTCCAAAGATCAGATCCTGAACAGCCCCTAAGCTGTCCTGCATCAACTGAGTTACCTTTTTCTGACTGGTATTTAGTGACTAGATATTGTTCAAGCATGATGATAAAGGATAAGCCTAAAGACACAACAAAGATTATGACCGAGGAAATTTTAGTTGCACACAGGGTCGAACCAACTTGTCTGATTTTGAGCTCAGCTTATTCAAATTCAACAGCCTTAACCTTTTCGAAAACCCCAACTATATTTTTTACATCACAAATCAATATTCAGTTCCCATTCAACAGAAAATGATTTCAAAACATCTGCTGGGTAAGATGTACGAGAAAAGCTGAAACCATATTCATGGATTTGGAGAGGCTATAAGAAGAAATGTTAGTCAATATCAAGCATCTAAATTCTAGTGCAATCAGTAGATATGTTTTGCATCACAAGAAGGCACAACTAATATGAGTAAAGCATCAGATCATAATTGTAATTCCAAATTATCCAAATGCCTCTCGAGGTCTTATTATCATTATAAGATCAACTGATGCCTAGCAGGTTGTATCTATCCCACAATAAATTGGAACCAATGGAAATATCCACAACAAAATAGAAGCAGTTTGAAGCCAGATAAGATAAGCAAAGCATCCTCAAATTGTCAGTACGCAAAAACCAAAGCAAGCAGACACACATGAACATTAATTTCTAGGCAATTCCAAGAAAACCATATGCACAGCATGCGAACACAACAAAAACATTGCCACAAGACATACCTATCAACTCCACGATGCTCCAACTCAAGGTCAATCTTTCTCCAATCCTGACCTCTTTCCTGCAACAACAGTTCCCTGGGCTTTGCCTCTCCAAAAGGATTCACCTTCGGCCTCGGCTTCACAGCCACATTCTCAAATCCTTGTTGCTGCAGCCCTGGCCCTTCAGACCTACTCGATTGCGCACTGGAAGGTCTGCTAGAATGTGCACTAGTTGGCCTGCTAGATTGTAAGCTTGAAGTCTTCTTAGCTTCCATTTCCATCTCTAGCTTCTTCCAATCCAATCCTTTCTCTGCCAACACATCTTCTCTCGGCCTTGCTGCCCCAAATGGATTAGGCCTGTTTGTTTTCACTGGCTCATTAACTCCAACTTCACCTCTTGGTGGATCTAAAATCAATCTAGGCCTTTCCCTCTCTGGCTCACGATATCGTCCTCTGTTCCAGCGATCAGGCTCCGTTCCAGAATCACGAAAACCCGAACCAAAAGTAGAAGATCGAGTAGGTAACGGTTTTTTATCAACTGCCCAGTTATCAACTTCATCAGCCCTAGAAGCACCTCCCAAACCACCTCCACCACCACCGCTTCCGAGTGAACCGTAACGGCTTTGTCGTCCAGAATCAAAAGAAGGCAGCGTTTTCTTCGCCACTGCCCAATTATCAACCTCATCAGCACGCGAAGGCTGATCATAATCAGAAACCCTAGAAGGAGGTGGCCCTCTCCGTTCATCATCGAAACCACCGCCAAATTGCCTTCTACCACCTCCCCAAGACCCATCGCTGTCTTCACGATCACGCATACGTCCGGAAGGCGGCCCGCTTCGACCGTAATTGGAAAATCCACCTCCAAGGCGTCCACCATACTGCATTTCTTCAGCGGAACGCTCTTTTGGACCAGTAGGGAGGCGGAGCATCTCGTCAGGAGTCAAGCCTTTGGATTCAACACCGCCGCCGATTGATGTCGTGTGAAATTCGTTGAGAGACATAATTTTCTTTTTAGGCTTAGCGGCTCCCACAGTTTCTTTCAGGCTAGGGAAGCTTTGAGAAACGGCAGCTGCAGCGGCTGCACGCTCCTCTTCTTCGGCTTGCTCGGCATCGGCTGCCCATGCGCCAATTTTGCTCCAAGGTTTTGACATTGTTTTAAAAAATATATAAAAGGACGATACGGAAAGTGGAAAATGAGAAATGCTCGGATCTTTAGAATATGAAAATTGGTAAATTTAGAGAGAGAGAGAGAGAGAGAGGGAGAGATTAGGGTGGATAATGAGCTGGGCTCCGTTAAGGGAGCCGGAGCTCCGAGAACATGCGTTGATGAAGATGATGAAGAAGACGAAGACGAGGAAGAAGAAGGGAGATTACAGTTGTTGAGTTTTGGTGCGTCGAAGGGTTTGGTTCTTTTTGTGTTTTGTTTTGTTTTTAATTCTCTTTTCGTTTAATTAATTTATTTGTTTTTAATAAAAACGAAAAGAGACAGAGGGAATTTTGACATGACCCGCGGGTGATGAGAATCGGATTGGTCTGATGAGATGAGAGGATGAAAGGTAGCAGTGATTCTTGCGGGTGTGGAGTTGGGATAATGGAGGAGTGTGTGGCCCACTTGCTGCAACGGAGGAGTCAGTGATTTTCAAATTGATGCAATTGCACGGTAAGGATGCTCTCGGGAATCTCCCCTTTTTTTTGGTAGAAAAGCAGCATTGACTTTTCAGGATTTTCTTAATTCCTGGGCATTAGTAAACTTTTTAGTTTTCTAACATGAGAGCAAGACTTACAGGCTAAGCATGCATGGGTATCAAATTTTTTAATCTCCAATTTATTGAAGGATCCAACCAGTTTTGGTCTATATATGTAGTAATTTCCCCCTCTATCAATGGTTGGTTATGTGAATTACATGGCTTCTTTGGTTTAGAATGGCTGCAATTTTAGCAATTGAATTTTTATGATTTAATTCGTTAAACAACTGATGTTTCTTTATTTATTATCAATCTGATCTTTTTTTCCAAGGGAAGGGAAGAAATGTCAGTTTCTTATTTGTTTCAATTTTTTTTTTTTTTTTTTACAGAATAATGGGAAAAAATATTTTAAAAAATTAAATCAATTTGTTAAAAAATTTTGCCAAATTTTTATTTATTTGTAGCTAGAATTTTTAAAAATTTTTTAATTTACATTGGAAACTTGTTTTTGCTTTATTTTTAAAAAAGACAAAAAATAAATAATGATTATAATTTTTTTTATTAATCTATTCAAGATTTGCCTTTATTTTTTATAATTTTTAATTTTAAGCTAACCGTTTGTTTATTTATTTACCGTAAAAAAAATTTTTCTTACTTTATTTTTATACTTCAACAATGAAGGGAAAATTATTGATTTATTGATAAAACATACTTGATCCAATTTTTGTATTTTTTTTATAGGCATAATTTTATAATTTATTTTTTCACAAAAAAATTGATTTTATGTGTTCAAGATTTTATAATATTTACAGAAAATTTATTTGTTTTCTAGCATTTTTCTTTTACTTTTAAAAATAAAATAAAAACTCAGCTAGAAAAACAAATAAAATAAAATAAAAGCAATCTAGCATAAATTAATAAAAAATATATTTTTTTATTTTCATATTAAAATAAAAATCATTGTTTTTAAACAATTTGGAAAAAAATAGCAGATAACAAAATTTTTCATTAATTCCTCAATAATTAATAAATATAGAATTTGAAAAGAAAAATATAGATTCTTATCATTCATTATTAGTTTATTATTTATATTTTATTAAATTTTAAGAGTAAGAATTATGATTAAGAGTGAGAGGAAAACTCATGATGTAATAAATAAATAAATAAAGAGCTGGTGAAATTTTTTAACAATTTTTTTTTGAATTTTTATCATTTTAAAAATAAAAAAACTGGAAACAATAAGAATCTAACGTGTGTCCCTCCTCTTCTTGAAAACTAAAATTAACGAAAAAATAGATTATGGATGGAGGGACCTTTGCTGTCTAACAGGCCAAACCATAAAGATCTAATGATCCAAATTAAAATCATAAGAATGTCTCTGTCAAATATTAATATCGTGTGGACTTTTAGTGTCATTAAACCTACAAAGATCGGATTTCTTTATCAACTTAAGTGACAATTAGATCTTTATATTAAATCAATTTATTTAATACTAACTCTCTTTTAATAACATACAACATTAAGTAAATTATATAATCAAACAACACTTGTCATTTGACTTCATTGACCCTATTATTTATTTTTTATGTATTTTTATTACAGAATTCATTTATTGAAATAAGGGAAAAAAAAAACATCAATATTATCTTATAATATTTTAGACCAGTTTATACGTTAATGGAAATTAAATTTTTTCTCAAATACATCTTTTAGATCCACATGGCCTATTATGAGAAAATTAAGCAAGCTAGAAAATCTCCTTTTACAGAGACAGTGTTTCCATCATGATGGGATCCGGGGCATATGGATAGTAGATTCACTTGGCATTCAGAAGATGACCATCTGAATTTCTAGAAAGGATTCCAGAAATGGACGACTTTGAAGATGCTAAATAAGCACCATCAAAGTTATACCTTTTGTTTTCATGTATATTCTGTATTTCTTTTGTTGTGCACCGGTGATGGAATCATAAAAACGTACAAGTATTAATTATTTTCATATACAATTTGTATTTCATTAACGGTCTTCTCACTCAGTTATTGCAAATAAAATAATTAGAAGGTAATTATAAAAGCTAAAACGTTAGAAGATTTAGGCTGCACTATGCCAGCAACTTAATTAACGAAAATGGCAGATCTCTAACAGGAAGGGGAAAACAAACCTTTGAAAGGTCACAAATTTAGAAATCAAAGGTAAATGAACCGAAAGGTACGATTTTAAAATTTCCAATTTGAGGTGAATATCTTATACCACCAACCGCCAATTTGTGCGCGCGCGTGCGTTCCGATTCTTACCGTAGTGTACTATTTTCTCGATGGTTATTTACCGGGATGTTGTTCTCGCGGCGAGCTCTCGTTATCTAATGTTAATGTCTACGAAGCAAACAAGAAGAAGGTATTGTTGGGTTTCCTCTTAGTTGGAGGATGATCTAAAGGTTTGTCTACATGAGTTTAATTTTAGAACTCATGTAGAGGAGGATATTTATTAATCACTTAAAAGATAATTTTGGTATTTTCAAATAAACCTTATCTTCTCTTTTATTCTGAAATCAGATTAGGGAAGAAGCAAGAGAGAAAAAGAAGAGGAAAAAGGAGTGAGAGCCGCAACTTTGGAGAGAAAGAGGGAAGAGAGTTTCAACACAGACCAGTCACGCTAAAATTAAGTTTCTGGGTTCGTTAATCGTTGGATCGAGCTCAAATTTGGTGGGCACGTTCAGGAGAGGCAGGCGCACATTCTGGACGGTGGAGATCGGGTTTTGAGTCCTAGAGAGGGAGGTATTGTGCTCGTAACAGTGCTATTTTCTGATGAAATCTGAACTTGGTTTCTTCTACTTTCTTTGTGTATCATCTTTTGATGTGGTTTGCCAAGGGTGTGTAACCTTTGATGTTTGTGGCTGATTATTCATCTAGTTTAATCTAGAGAGAACTCCTTGTACCCATTATTGTTGATAGTGGAAGTTACAGTGGACTCCGATCTCGTGATTTTTTCTTTCTCAAATTGAGGAGGTTTTCCATGTAAAAATTTATGTGTGCTTTGTGTGATTGTGATTTGTTGCTTATTTTTCAGATTATTAGTTACTTGTTTGGCTTGGGTATTTGGTTGTAGCCTGTGGTTGATTGTTCAAGCAAGGGCAAAGGGGTTCCGTTGTGTCATTTGTGTTTCTTTGCCTAACAAATGGTATCAAAGCTCGGTTGTTTACTTTCAGCTTGAACAATATGGAGAGTAACATTAAAATGATAAGTCCGAATGGAACCAATTATCACATGTGGAAGAGAAAAATGAAAGATCTCTTATATGTAAAAAGTTGGCATCTACCTGTTTTTGCTTCGGATAAACCTAAGACAAAAATAGATGAGGATTGGAAGTTTGAGAATGAACAAGTTTGTGCCTTTATTCGTCAGTACATTGATGATAATGTTTCTAATCATATTGCAGAAGAGGTGAATGCTAGAACTTTATGGAAAAGTTTGGAAGATCTCTTTGCCAAAGAAACGAGAAATAACGAGATGTACTTGATCAAGCAATGGATGAATTACGGGTATAAAGAGAGAACTTCGATAGTCGATCACATTAATGAGTATGTGGGAATTGTTCAACAAATGAATGCCATGAAAATAGAAATTGATGATGAGGTCCTTGGGTTGTATTTGCTTGGCTCATTACCGGATTCTTGGAAGACATTTCGTACATCACATTGCAATTCGCTCCCGATGGGAAGATGACCTTGACCTATGCTAGAAATGGGGTTCTCAATGAAAAGGTTAGAAGGAAGACTCAAAATTCTTCTTCCCGATCGATGTGCTAGTTACTATAGATAGAGGGAGGAGTAAGAGTAAGGGTCCAAAAGGCAGAGGTAATAGCAGAAGCAAGTCTAGGGGCAAGTTTGCAAATGTGGAGTATTATCATTGTGGTGATATGGGTCACATCAAAAAATATTGTTGAAAATTGAAGAAAGACAACAAGAAGAACAAAACCAAGTAGAATGGCAAGTGATGTCGATGAAGATCGAGTAAATGCAACTGATGAGTTTCGATTGCATATGATGTCGATGAAGTCAACATAGCATCGGATGAGCATAGTTGGGTGGTTGACAGTGGAGCTTCGGTACATGTTACATCTCATAGAGAGTTTTTTAGCTCATACACACTCGACGATTTTGGGACAATAAGGGTTGGCAATAATGGGTTATCCAAAATTATCGGTATTGGAGATGTGTGCTTAAAGACACATACCGGAGTAAAGCCGATTCCGAAAAATGTGAAGCATGTTCTCGACTTTCGCTTGAATTTAATCTCGGTTGGAAGACTTGATGATGAAGGGTTTTGTAACACATTCAAAAATGATATGTGGAAGTTGTCCAAGGGTTTTATGATAGTGGCAAAAGGAGAGAAGTGTTCCTCTTTATATGTCATGCATGCTAAATTATTGAATGATGATGTGAATGTTGTCATAGGTGAGGAAGCTACTGAACTATGGCACAAGAGATTGGCTCATATGATCGAGAAAGGCATGGTAGTGTTGAAAAAGAAAAATTTGTTGTATGATATGCGGGATAATCACTCGAAGAAGTGTCCGCATTGCTTGGTTGGAAAACGTAACGAGTTTTCTTTAGGAGTTATCCACCTACAAGGAAACAGAATCCCTATGAGTTAGTACATTCGGATGTGTATGGTCCTATGAAGACAATGTCAAAAGGAGGTTCCTACTACTTTGTGACATTTATATATGATTACTCAAGGAAGGTATGGGTTTATACATTGAGATCGAAAGATCAAGTTCTTGGTGTTTTCAAGCAATTTCGGGCTTTGGTAGAAAGACAAACAAGGAGGAAGCTTAAATGTATCCGAACTGATAATGGTGGTGAATATTCGGGCCCTTTTGATGAGTACTTGCAGGACTCAAGGTATTAAGCATCAAAAGACTCCATCAAAGACACCTCGGTTGAACGGGTTGGCTAAAAGGATGAATAGGACTCTAGTTGAGAGAGTCGGATGCTTGCTTTCTCATGCACGATCGCCTAAGTCATTTTGGGGTGAGGCATTAAATACCGTTGTTTATTTAATAAATCTTTCACCTTGTGTGCCTTTGTCATTTGATGTTCCGGATAGGGTTTGGAGTGGTAAAGATGTATCCTATGATCACTTAAAAGTTTTTGGGTGCAAGACATTTGTGCATGTTCCTAAAGATGAGAGATCTAAGCTTGATGTGAAGACAAGACGGTGTATCTTCTTAGGGTATGGTCAAGATGAGTTTGGCTATAAACTGTATGATCCAATTGAAAAGAAGATAGTCGAAGTCGTGATGTTGTATTTCCGGAGGATCGGACCATACAAGATATTGAGAAGACAGAGCAGACAGTGATCGAGTCTTATGATGATCGATAGATATAGAGCCGTTGAGCTAGTTCATTCGCATCGTAGTTGAGCCAATTGAGCATGATGTGCAAAATGGTTCACGGACGGAACATGGAGTACGGAATGATGATGATCCGCAAGACAACGATCGGATTCATGATGATACATCGAGTGATGAACATGATCGGATAGTTGAACGGGATGATGAACATGTTCCATCAAAAACCTTCGAGCGATCTAACGAGAGATCGAAGACCTTCTACTACGTACTCTACTGATGATTATGTGTTGTTGACTAACAATGGAGAACCCGAATCCTACAAAGAAGCAATAGAAGATGAGAATAAAAAGAAGTGGATTGAAGCCATGAATGATGAGATGAAGTCTTTATATGAGAACAATACCTTTGAATTGGTAAGACTACCCGATGGTAGAAGAGCTTTGAAAAACAAATGGGTGTTTAGAATCAAGCATGAAGAACACACGACACACCCTAGATTCAAAGCAAGATTAGTGGTGAAGGGTTTCATTCGGAAAAGAGGTATTGATTTTAAGGAGATATTTTCTCCGAGTGGTAAATATGTCATCTATTCGGGTTGTTCTCGTCCTAGCAGCAAGTCTTGACTTGGAAGTTGAACGAGATGGATGTCAAGACGACCTTTTTACATGGTGACTTAGAAGAGAAAATCTACATGGAGCAACCGGAGGGGTTTTAGTTGAAAGGCAAGGAAAACCTGGTGTGTAAATTGAAGAAGAGTCTTTATGGTTTGAAGCAAGCTCCTAGACGGTGGTACAAGAAGTTTGACTCGGTTATGGGGAGCAAGGCTATACGAGAACTACATCGGATCATTGTGTTTATGTGCAAAAATTTTCTGATGATGACTTTATTATATTGTTGTTTTATGTAGATGATATCTTAATTGTTGGCGGGAATGCTTCAAGGATAGCCGACTCGAAGGAGCGAGTTGAACAAGTTCTTTGACATGAAGAACTTAGGGCTAGCAAAAAAAATTTTAGGCATACGCATTGAACGTGACGGAAGCAGCTAAAAGATTGTACTTATCTCGGGAGAAGTATATTGAGAAAGTACTTCGAAGATTCAAGATGGATAAAGCTAAAGTGGTTAGCTCTCCTCTTGCAATCCACTTTAAGCTAAGCATCCAACAGAGTCCTTCTACGGATGAGGAGAAAGAGGAGATGCGAGAGAGTTCCATATGCTTCGAGTTGTTGGGAGTTTGATGTATGTCATGGTATGTATAAAGCTCGATATTGCTCATCGTTGTTGGGGTAGTTAGTAGATTTTTATCAAATCCAAGAAAGGAGCATTGGAATGCGAGTTAAGTGGATAATGAGATATCTTAGAGGCATAAGCGAGTTTGAAGTTATCTTATGGTGCTAGAAAATCAAACTTGATTGGCTATATAGATTTAGATATGGTAGGAGATGTTGATTCTCGCAAGTCAACATCCGGATATTTGATTACTTTTACAGGGGAGTCGTGGCTTGGCAATCTAGACTGCGAAGTGTGTTGCTCTTTCCACTACCGAGGCAGAATTCATTGCGGCAACGAAAGCTTGTAAAGAGTTGCTATGGATGAAGAAATATGTTCGGGAACTCGGTTTCAAGCAAGATAAGTATGTGTTTTTTTGTGATAGTCGAGTGCTATCCACCTTGGTAAAAATTCTACATTTCATGCTAGATCGAAGCATATTGATGTTCGATACCATTGGATTAGAGATGTTTTGAATTGCAAGTTGTTAGAACTTCGAGAAAATCCACACCGATGATAATGGTTCGATATGTTGACTAAAGCATTACCAAGGGAGAAACTTGAGGCTTATCGTTCGGTCGTCGGGATGGCGAATACCTCCACCTAGTCGTGAGGAGGAGATTTGTTGGGTTTCCCTCCTAGTTGAAGGATGGCCCAAAGGTTTGCCTACATAAGCCCAATTTTGGAGCTCATGTAGAGGAGGATTTTTATTAATCACTTAAATGGTAATTTTGATATTTTCAAATAAACCCTATCTTCTCTTTTATTCTGAAATCAGATTAGGGAAGAAGCAAGAGAGAAAAGAAGAGAAATAAGGAGTGAGAGCCGCATGACTTTGGAGAGAAAGAGGGAAGAGAGTTTCAGCACGGACCGATCACGCTAAAATTGAGTTTCGGGTTCGTTAACCGTTGGATCGAGCTCAAATTTGGTGGGCACGTTCAGGAGAGACAGGCACACATTCTGGACGGTGGAGATCAGGTTTTGAGTCCTAGAGAGGGAGATATTGTGCTCGTAACAGTGCTGTTTTTCGATGAAATCTGAATTTGGTTTCTTCTACTTTCTTTGTGTATCATCTTTTGATGTGATTTGCCAAGGGTGTGTAACCTTTGATGTTTGTGGCTGATTATTCATCTAATTTAATCTAGAGAGAACTCCTTGTACCCATTATTGTTGATAGTGGAAGTTATAGTGGACTCCGGTCCCATGGTTTTTTCCTTCTCAAATTGAGGAGGTTTTCCATGTAAAAATTTGTGTGTGCTTTGTGTGATTGTGATTGGTTGCTTATTTTTCAGATTATTAGTTACTTGTTTGGCTTGGGTATTTGGTTGTAGCCTGTGGTTGATTGTTCAAGCAAGGGCAAAGAGGTTCCGTTGTGTTATTTGTGTTTCTTTGCCCCACAGGTAGTAAATGAATATGACATTTAGGAGATGGTGTAGCAGAATCATTTTGGCTGCACCAACTTAAAACATTCATAACTTGCCTTTGATACAACAGATACCTCATCTTTTCTCTATCTCACCATACAGCAGCAGAGAGTGAAGATGAGAAGGAAAGAAGGAACAGCAAGGAAAGAAACTCTGCTGTGTCAGTTTATACTATGGGCAATCGAGGACAAACAGCGCACAACCGTGCACCTCTACCTCCACTGATATTAAATCTTTAATGTCTCCAAAATCTTTTTTACTCCAGACTTCTCCACCGTGACATGACGTCCAATTCAAGTTTCTCCCAGGAAGTGCCTTTGACATGTCTGATATCTTTGCTGATATTACTGTCTTCTCTGAGTTCAGATTGAAAAGTGCAACATAAATCTCTCCTGAGTCAACAGAAAGGAAAAGTCGTTGTTGATATATTAAGAGCAATAGATACATATGTGATATGCCATAGAAGTTTTCAGACAAATGAACTGTAGGCATGTTGATCATCAATCATAATTCAGAGCTATGGTTAGAAGCTACCGGAGTGCCATACTAGACAAAAGTTGGCAGCTCGCAGAAGATGATCATTAATTCTGTTTAAATGAGGCAATTTGGAACTTGATAACATAAACATATATGCCCAAACACGATGATCAATGAAGGCATGGATATAGATAATGAGCAGACTATTTTCCACCTCAGTTACAAGAAAAAATAAAACAGTTCGATTTAAAATAGCTTCCCTTCGCCAAGGTGGACCATTATAATCATCCAAGGGGTAACCAATGAGCATATAGCCCATTGGTACTCTAGTATAGGTATGAGAGGTGAGGTCTCTTGTTCGAGTCTCACATCTGTCAAACTTAAAAGAATTGGAACACTCATCAAAACAAGAAAAACCAACTTAGGGGTGAAGTTTCACATTAAACCACGAACTTCTCTGGGTTCTTTTAAATATATAGCCAAGGAATTGTGACATAATTGAAACCAAATTTATTGAGAGTTTAAGGGGCATTAAACCTTTTCTTCCAGTTGCAATCCAAGACCGAACACCACTGTTTCCAGCATTAGCTGCATATATATTAACACGTCAAGGAAACATCATCAAATAGCCCTTAATGTACGTATAGAAATCAGCTTGAACTTCTAGTATATTACCATCAATTGAGTTCATAGTTGCGCACAGACCCGAATAGTTGCTGACAAGAGATCCGTTATTGTTTAATTCCCACATCTGTTGAAATTAAGAGTTTGCTTTGAAGTATCACTCATACAATGATAATTAGAAACATGTCAAATTCATGAAAAATAAGACAAAAGGTCACCCTGCAGATTGATTGTGAACGGATAAACACAAGCATTCTGGCAAACCCATTAATTACATTATGGCATTTTAATTTGGAGCTTCAACCATCATCAGACTTTTCCAATTTCCTGCTATATGTATTTGTTAATTGTTTAATGTCAATTTATACATGATTCGACAAGAAAGTGACATTTGTCGCCTTTGCATTACAGTAAACTTTAAACATGCATGCCTTTGTTAGGGAATTGTGAATGATGAGATACCTGGTTGGCATCTGATCTGCAAGGGGAGAAGGAACCACTCTTTAATTCTTTTGAAGTACGCCTCTGTCTTGGGGAAGCATCCAAGCAAAACTCCATTCCATCTCTAGCTAATAAATTCAGCTTTCCTTGATTGTAAATTAACCGTTCATCACTACATTGCCATTCACAGCATCAGAGAAAGCAGAAATAACAACAACAACAACAATAATTTGTTGTTTGGAACAACTTAATAAGGAAGGTAAAAGTGATTACGAAGACAGAAGAGGTTTTCGTTTGTATAGGCATAAAGGTTCATGGCTTTGCACGTTCCCTTTCCAGCATATCTGGTCAAGATCTTGGTCGAGAGCTTCAATTGACCAACCATTAACTTTGGGATGATTGCAGCTAGTGAGATCCAGAAACTGTGTATGTGATGCGCCAACTTCCTTTAAACATCTTCTTGATCGTTGGCTGTGAGCCATGGTCCTGTGTGTAGAAGAACCCCTTGTGCCAGTAACATAAGGAAACTGCACATGCAATTTGATGATATATCAGAAAAAACCTCATTTAATATTCCAAAGACCTCTAGAAGAACATTGTTTCACATGCCTCCATATTGTTCGAGCTAAAAGAATTTATTTCCAGAACGACAGGATTGGTGATCAAACTGTATGTGGTCTCATCAAGCTTTCTAACATCTCCTCCAAACATAAGAGGGGATCTGGCCATTGCCCACAAAGTCATCTGCAAAGAAATATACTCGTATCGTGTCATCAATAAAGAAGCTTATTTATTAACAGTGGACTGAAAGATGCATATACATACCTGAGTTTTTTGCTCATCTAGATCAAGGTTAGTCATTCTGTATGGTCCCCTGTTAGAACCTAGGATATAGAAAAGCAATGTGATTATTAAGTTTTTGTCTTTTCTAGTGGAACTCTTTAAACACTTTCAAGTTATCATGAATACTCAGTCTGACCAACCCTTTACAAAATAAAATTACTCAAAATGTACTAGATTAAAGTGAACAATCTGCTAATTTTATCACCTGGATCTGTAAGCCGTCCTAAGGGTAGCATATCTAAGTCAGGCCATGACCGCCCCAGCAAGCCCTTGGCACCAATCTTATTAGCAGCAGCAAAGTCCCTGAAGCAGAAGAACAACATATCCCATCAAATAAAATAAAAAAAGGCAGAATAGAAGAAAAGCCCCGACCAGGGACAACAATATCTACATATAAACTGAACTTTAAGCTCTAATTTTGCATGAAAACTTAATCCATAAGCTCTTATTTTGCATGAAAAAATTAATCGACCTTGAAACATCAAAATGAGCTGCAACATCTCCCCACGTATCCCAATCATCCCCTGTTACCCTGTACATGTTGACTAATCCACTTATATCTTTTGCCATGGTTGGTGTCGCACTGGTTCCAGGAGACAGCGAATACAGAATGGGACGATCAAGCTTCTGCAGAACCTGGACAAGTGCTCTTCATATATCATCATCTCTAATCAGAAAAGATTGAAAGACATAAAATTTATGCACCAGAACGTGCTGCATACCTCTGACACAAATGTTATTTCATCTAGATCCAAGTCATCACCAAATACACAATCATGTTTCACTGCAAATAAAAGAGAAGCAAAGAACATAAAAATTATTAAAACAGAGATTGACATGAGCCACTAAGAAAATGCAGTGGAATAAATAACAGCAGGGAAGATTGAAATGGACAGAATTCACAATTTCATAACAAATACCAGTCAAAATTCCTAATTCCTGGCTTGATTTAGGGCAGGAAACAAAGCAAATTGTTCATGACCAGTTCTGAGCTCAACTCCATAAAGATGAACAGATTAACTCGATTTAAAACGTACAAACACATATTCAGCACAAACAGGGCAAATAAGCATCATAAAAATACTATAGAGGCCGGTCTTTTCAGAAATATTCTTTTCTTTTTTTCTTTTTTTCATAAAACTCTATATCTATACAGGTTTGGTAATAATTTTGTCAGTACGAATTGTGTATCTAAACTTTGTACTTCCATTTCTTGGTTGCGTTACCTACCTTGAGCTCAAGATGAATTTAGAGGATCTTTTTAAATAAACCATAATAAGCTTGCCTAAGCCTGGTTCAAGCTCAAAACGCTTGAGGAGGCCAAAGCTCTACTTTACTCATTTGCAATATTACTATTGGGTCCTTCCAGGACCTTCAACTTATACTCCTTACATTATCATAGAAACAATAGTTCATCCATGCTTCCAGCAATGGAAATGGTTCTTGAAAGCTGCAATTCAGCTTTGACTACTTATTTTACCGTTTTTAATAAGTAAAAGGGAAAGTCCATTCTCTAGAGAATGTTGAGACTTGAGATACACCCAACTGGGTTCACAGACTTCTTAATGTGTTGGATAAGATGGAAAAAATGCAGGTTTCAGTTATATATTAATTACCAAAATCAACACCCCACTCGGCATACTGTTCGTAAAGTGACCTCAAGAAGGCTCTTCCAGCTCCCAGCTTAGTATTTACACTCATGAAACCATGTGGCATCCATGCACAAGCTCTCTCCTGGATCCCTATATCTTTTGCCCGCCATTGTCGTCCAGACTCTTTGTATGCACGTCCCTGATAAAAATTGAAATTTAGCATTAACTTTTTAGAGCCAATCAATTAGACTGTTAACTTAATGTCTTGCATTGCACCTTTTGCCTGACTAGTCTATTTTTACTATGATATAGTTTGCAGGAATGTGCAATCTGAGCATGTAAGGGAAAGAAATACTTCTCCTGTGGGAAAAAAGAATGAAAAGAAAAAAAGAGAGAGAGAGAAGAGAGAAGAATGAATCCTCATTGATGATAAGGGACAATACCGTGGTAGTATCCAAGATGGGGGTGTTCGCATCATATGCCTGTCTGCTTAATCCTCTCATAACATGAATCCCAAACTTCAAACCCATGCTGTGTACTGCCTTGGCTACTTTAGTGAACCCTTTCCCATCTTTGGACGAGGGCCACCTATCTGGATCAGGGACCATCCTCCCCCATTCATCAATTACATCAAATCCAAGAGAATCTGGGTAAGCACCTGGAACATTTCTCCTATACCAGAGGTAATCTACCACCGCATACTACATGAAATTACACAGATCAAACACAACTTTTATTTCAATTAACTTTCCCATTCTCATACTGTTCAAGTAATTAAACAAGTTATAAAAGCTGGAAGTAGTCATCAGCCATATTTATACCTCATATCCATAAGGCTTTAGACGCTGAGAGATGATTTCGGCACTTTGCAAGAAATCTGCTTCAGAAACGATCCAGCAAAAGGAATCATAAGAGTTCCAACCTCGAGGTGGGAAGCTTGCATGCTCAGGCTGAGAGGATACCCTAAAACGGATTTTGTACAAATTATTAAGTTCACAAACTAAGATATTTAGTCAAGAAAGCCTTCAAAGAAAAAGTTGGAACATTTATGGGATTCACAAAATGACACATATTTTATGTGTTCTTCAATTCAATGTCTTATGAGGATTATCAAAGACTAAACAAGACAGAATATATCGAAATAGCAAAATATAATAATGTAATTGCATTGTTTAGTAAGCAATTTTGAATGTACTTGCCTTGCTTCGAAGAATCAAGCGTACTCAAAACCAGAGAGAATTTTACAACTAACTCTGGAATTAATTCTACCATCATAACTCTTGTGTCAATTATAACAGTAGTGAAAAGAAGAAAGGTAGAGAGAGAAGCACCTGTAAAGATAAGAACCGAAGGAGAAGAGAAACAGATAGCCCAGCAGTTGGATCCTCATTGTTTTAGAATACTGAACTGCAAAACAACTCTTCTTCGTAAGTATCTACAACAAAGAGATAAAGCGTTCACTTTATATAGCAAACATACCCCAGGCTAATTAGTAAAAACACTTACGTACGAGAAATTTATTAGTTACTCCTATTTCTCTCTCCTCTGTGTCTCTCTCGTATGGAGTAAGTACTCAATTAGGAAAGCAAAAAAATAAGGCTCTACAATCAGAAAAAGGCATACAAAAAATCATACAGATAACATCATCCCATTTATGGCCTCGAATCAAATCGCTTGTAAAAATAGAAGGAAAACGAATATATATTCGTTTTCCTTCTATTTTTACATAATATTTGGTTCTATATATTGTACGAATCAATATAAGGAAAGTAAGTATAGCACAAGAAAATTAATCAGATATAATATTTTATATTTGGCAAGTGATACGAGGAAACCAAATATTATGTAGGCAGCATACCCTCAGGCAAATTGAAGGCTAGATCCTGAAAGTGGTTAGTGGATAGGGATTTTATGAAGATGTTGTGCTGATGACAGGTGTCATGTAATGGATTAACATAAAAAATAACAACAATACACAATGTAATTTAGTAAGCTCATGAAAAGCATCGCTGCGAGCAACACATAGAAAATGCAGCAAGTATTGCAGAGTTGGAGTTGTCAAAGACACAATATAAATCTAAATTTTAACTTTCTAAGCCATCTATATAGATGATTTAGCCAAACTTAACAATGTTTTTGTTAGCAATCTTGAAAGCCCTAGCCTTGCTTAATTGATAATCACAAGAAGCAAGTATGAAAGACTTTTAACATTTCAAAGCGAGAAAAGGAAATTCATAGCAATTTCTCCAAGAAAATCATCTAGTTAAATAAGAAGAGAGAGAGAGAAGCACCTGTAGAGAGAGAAGCTGAAGAAGGAGGAGGGGAAAGAGAGAGAAAGGTCCACAGTAGGATCCTCCCAGTCCTGAGTTCACCTCTTCTTAATGAGATTATTACTGAAAATACAAAATGCGGGTCTTTCTTCCTAACAATCAAATATTTTTAAAGAACATTAATGAGTAATGATTGGTACCTGAAGTGGGGGATTATTATTGTCATGATGATAATGGATAATCATTTTTTTTTTATTATTCTTATTTAGTTTGCCGGTGATGGAAGCGTGTTGCGAATTGGAAGTCTCCTCGTGTCCTTTTCAACTCCTCCTTGACGGTATAAATATACTGATTTTTTTTTTTAATATACTTAAAAGGAGAAATTAGACGGTGTTGTCTTGTTTGTTAGTTGAAAAGAAACAAGCAGTGAAGTGTTAAAATTTGAGTCGGCGGTTCCGTCGTAGTACAAGCTTGTTACTGATCCGACAAACCTGCCGGTGGTGGAGATCGTACGTTCCAGATTGGGATGAAATTACTTAGAGGGATATTTAGAACTTCCTCCGGATGTTAAAAAATCACATCATCGCCAATGATGGAATTTCTATTAGATGGGATGAAAAGGTAAAATCCTACAATATCAATATTCCAACATAGGGCATCGTTCCGCCGGTCCTTAGGGCACTGAATTTGTTATTAGATTCAAATCCTATGATCTCGAAAGCCATCAACTCTCTTCCCATATTCTTCTAACCTTGAATTTGAGAGCTGAGGTTACACAATTGATAGTTGGCCACATGAATGCCATCTCCCCCTGAATTTTAACTCCTGTTGGATTTGGCTTCAAGTTCTTCTGTTAGTTTTCGTAGGATTCTCTCTTTTTGTAAGCAATATTTTTAATGAGTAAAATAAATCCCTTGTTCACAATCCATTAACATAGGGATGGAAACCTAAATAAACAAAGGAAAGAGCTTGATTTCAGACGAAACATATATGGAGGAAATCCATCCCTTGTTTAAAAGTTGATGAACTAATTGTGAAATCAGCAGAAAAGGTGGCATCCATCTACCCTAACCGTTTTCACACTCTCTTACCATGTGAACAATTGGCAATGACTACCATGGCCTTACATGGCGTATTCACCAGGGCTCTTCAACCGAGGCAGAGACCTGTATTAATCTAAATAAAGCAGCGCAAGACTGGTGGCTTATTTTCTCATTTGCTATTTTCCAGCTTCTAGATAGCCTTCGATATTTCCATCAGCGACAGCTATCAATGTCCAGGTATCATTAAGCATAGTATGTTGCCATGTGTAGGGGAGCTTTCATGATAAAACTTGACTAGTAAACCCTAATCCTTCAACTTACAAATGTGAACTTGTAATTTACAACAAATAAATCGACCAAAAAAAAAAAAAAAAAAAAGAAAAAAAGAGTTTATAGTCTTTGGCACAACTGCTTATATCCATATTGCCCTGGAGGCTACTAAACTGCTGAGCGCCAGTAAAGAGACTTGAGTCATCCAACCATATGCCCGAATCCTGCTCCAGCTAGCCAGCACCAATTTGAGCAGATCGTACTCCTCTAGTTTTTCCCATATACGAAACTGTACGCTGCTCTGTTCAAATTTCTTTCTTCATTCTAGGAAAAATAATATAGCTTATCAAATCACAGAGTTACACAGCTCTTTCAGGACATGCTCGTCCGAATGAATAAGCGGTGAAGCATCTAAAAAGGTATGCAGTCAGGCTCTACACATACAAGGAGTCAGAGGATTTTCCCATAGGTCATAATTAGGGAAGGTCTCCTCTGGCAATCCAGTTCGCGTTTGGTGAGTGACAACCACATCCTCTACGAAAGTCGCCCAGCCTATGTAAGGGTCTCCAAAAGATTTGGACATTAGCCCCTTGTCTGGTTTTACGGATTTATGTCGATGACCCATGTACCTACGGGCCCCAATAATCAATTTAGCAAAGTTGCCTCCGTGGGTCATCACAAAAACATCAGACTTCAGGCAAACCAAGAAGTCGAGGGCTGCCAAGCTTGTTACATGCTTCCTGAAACCATCCAACTCCTCTTTGGTTGCCAACTCTTCCTTTGTTACCTGTTAGAAATCCTCAGAGTCAAATATCAGGTTAAAAAATAGACATTTTTATAAGAAAATTCACTTTGAAAGGTTCCTCTCACACGCTAGCAAATGCAACTGCAAAAATTCAGCCAACGTTCAGTCACAAGTGCTTTGATTTCTCAATTTCCTAAACATTATATAGAATTTAGAGCATGAAAAATCATTCAACCTCCAATCCCAAAGTAAAATGTAATACTCTTTTCCAATGTTACAATACATATAAATACATTTGCACGTATATGTGTATGCATGCACACATGAATATAGCAGTAACTGGAAAACATTCTTCTTTTCTTTATGTTTAGAGATTAGTCAGGTATCAATGTAGGTGGTCTTGAACCAAGGGCATAAAGGGCTGGAGTAGCCAGTGGCTGCAACATTATTTATGGGTGCACTTTATACACAACATTCTATCTTCAAAGCCATGCTAAGCACCAAGTATGTGCACATGAGAGAGATGGAAATTATTTCATAAGCATGTTTAGTCACTTCATCAATAGAGAAAATGAATGACAGAAACAGAATCAAAGGCATTACCAGGCTCGGGAACATGTTCTTCAGTGGAGCCATTCGGTTTTGTCCACCATAAACCTGGCCAGAAGCTACATAAATCTGAGTTCCCTTAGGATATCCCATTGCCCGAAGAATCACAGCTACTTCCCCAGGTTCAAGAGGGCACCGTCCTTCCTTCCGTTTTTGCAGGGCCAATTGCCATAGATGGGAACCATTCTGCATGATAAATCACCAAAGGCTTATGATGCATCAATGTTTGTTTTGGTTTCTAGCTAAAACCAGAAAACTGATAACTCACCTTATACCGTCGAGGCCACTCTTTTTTTCTATATTCTGCCATTCTAGCTTTCTCCTCCCTTGTCCCCACAAAATCACAGAATGATAGACCTACCATCCCTTTTTCAAATCTAAGATGAAGAGCCCTGTAAATATAATGTTTAGTACCACGAAACTTAGAACTAATTATAATTGGAACAGAGTCCAATGGTAACAATGTCACATACATATACGGATTTGAAATTCCTGTGCGGTTACGCATTCTCGCTACCAGCAAATCAGACATCTTCTCTATCTCAGGAAGAAATTTCAGAGCATGATAATTCACCCTGCACCTTAGCCTGTTGATTTCTGGAGGGACATTATCATATCTACAGCATACACAAATAAGAAAAATAAACAAATTGAAAAAAGAAAAAGAAAAATCCAAGACCAATTATTTTTCTTTCAATGGAAGCAAAATTTTGAGCATAGTGCCCCAAAGATGTACAACATCCGTACTTACCCAAGCCTATCAACAAAAGGCTTGAGGGCCATTATCTTCTTTTCCTTGATTCGAGGCAGCACATTGTCTATGTAGAATTGAGCAGGCGCATATTTTGGAATGTTTTTCACTGTCCGTCTATAACATAAATGGCAAATTTTTCCAAACAGTCAACACCAGACAACAAATTGAAGTCCACATATCAATGCACGCAACATGAGAAAAGGACAAGGAACATAAAAATCAAACCTTATGCTTGTGAATAACTCTGATTTGTCGGTAAACCATTCAGGTATGTCACGAACAATTCGTACATCATACTTTAAATAGTCAATGAAATGATCAACATCAAAAATGTCTTCAAATTTCCTGTCAACATTTCATAAAAAAAGGCATTTAAGTTTCTAAAACCATTAAAAAAAAAAAGCTTGTGAACAGGGGAAAAATCCTAACTCATTAATATAACTGCAAATGTGATTAGGATTAGTTCAAGAAAAGGAAACATAACTAAGCATATAGTAGTATATATACCAAAATCCAATGAACCTATTTGAGATAATTATACAGCCACAAAACAGAGTTCCCCATGCACATACATGTTTGTTAAGAGCATATCAAAATCACATCAATTTCCATCTAATGTTTTCATTTTTTATTTTTTTTAAAAAAAAACAACAACAACAACAATGAGACCAAGTATTGTTGAAGTTGAAGACCTTCACAATAGATATGAGGAGCAACACCATTATCAAGAGAAACACTATTCCTAAGCCTGAGAGTCAAAAGTAGAATGAAGAAAAAGAGAAAGTAAAACAAAAAATTTACATTAAAAAGAATGTTGCAATATGTAATGTCCAGGTATTAATGTTCTCATATGCATAAGAATATTAGCTTACGTTTGGTCTTTCCAGATCTGGTCCTGCTTCAAAACAGGCAAAATAAGGGTAGCATTCATTATTTTGGCCACTGCTACAGCATTGCATATCTGCATTAAAAAAAAGGAGCAACATTCACTATAATTCAATCACTTTAAAGAGCTTGTTGCTTGGTAAGTAAAGAAATAAGCATAATTTTTTTACACAAAAATCTACTATAGGAAGTTAATTTGATTAAAAACAAAGAGGTAAGAAGGAAAAAATAAATAAAAATCCATGATCAAACTAGCAGATTACCAAGATCAAATAATAAGGATTGAAGAAAAAGAATATCAGAAACCATCTAGACCAGATAGACATGCTAAACTAACAAATATTATACTGTCCTAGTGCAATTAAGAGATTCTCAGTGAAATGGTCACTACAGTTGGATCAAATTAGAAAAAATGGAATTTAGGAAGATAAATTACATCACAATCTATAATTAGTTTCCACATTCTAGACAAAAAAATCCATAACTTACAGACTATAGACAGCATGTTTAACAACAACAGTCTAAAGAGATCTGAGATAGCTCGAGAATGAAAAAAAGAAGCAAATGACAGTTTCTCAAACAAAACAGTATAAATAATCACAAGACACAAAACCATTTCATAGATTACTATCTTATTCTGTCTTCTGGATGGGGGAGGTGGAGGGGAAGGGTTGCTTCAGTGATATATTGCAATTCAAAACCACAAAAAAATAGAGAACTTTCAAAATTACACTACTTGACAGAACGAATCCATACGGCAATCCTTTGCTGATTCAAACCGCCCTCTGCATGGATAAATATATAACCATTTGTTTCATTTTCAGGAGGAAGATCTGCAAAAATGAGAGAAAAGTCAACGCATTAAGATGGACAAAATGAATGGCCGAGAAGAAAGAAAGAAAATTGAGCATAGGAAAAGCAACATTGCTTTCACCATTAGATATAGTTCATGCCAGTCTTTCTAACAACAAAACATACAACTGAGAATTCCCACATATATGGATATGTAAACGAGAAATATAACATTAAAACATGTTAAACAGCACCAAGTTTCTTCTAAACTTCTTCCTCTCCTAGGCCGTTCTCATTACAAGTCTGTGAAGTCTATAAATTTGGAAGCAACAAACTGACTATTGGTTGTATAACCTCCATATAAATAAGTATGCTAAATTAGAGATGCAAGGGTTGGTATTGCTGCCTTTCTAGTCAACTTGTGTTTTAAAGAATAAAGATATTAGGACATAGTACTACTCAAATCATTTTTTGGGATGCCTTCCATTAGAGAATATTGTGAGCTTACGTTGCGCAAGTTACAATAAGTGAAAAGAAACCATGTCATGTCTTCTGAAATTATCAAGATGGATGATGGGCACAATTCCTTGAATGCAGCAGAAATAATCAACCATCACCCATATCTATGGACACGAATCTTCCCATGGATGTAAAATCTGAAAAGGAATGTAGTGGCTATGAAAGCAAACGAGAGGATGTGCCTGGAGAGGCAGATTATGTGTTGAACGTGGAAAATACTCCTGAAGTGAAACAGTTTCCAAGAGGAGAAAGACATCACGGGAGATTACAGGCCAAAATATGTCTTTTGTTGATCAAAGAGGAGTAAAAGAAACCCCATATCATGAAACTCTCTTGTGCTCTAAGTTTCATATGCTTGTTGGCTTGTTTTGGATTGCCTAGAACATTTCTGTTACAACATTATAGAACACATTTATCCCTTTCCTAAATTGTAAAGGCACAAAAAGGCAAACAACAGAAGGGTTTCTAAATTCCTTTCGAAGTAGAGCTGAATATAGGGCCCAGAAAAATGGAACAAGTTGTAATAAGAACGTAGGAGAAAGCAAAGCTTGATGGTGATGGTCAAGAATTCAAAGAGTTAAAGGGGAAATCGACCTTCAAGTCTCTGTGCATCACTGCTCAGAAACAAAATGGTTGTGAAAGGAAACTGAAAGTAAAAGAAAAGGACGAGATCGCATCATGTCAACATGAGCATCATTGGGCTAGACTGCCTAGTATAGTGTGTTCTGAACTTGGAATTCACGCCCACACCAATGTAGTATCGAGTCAAGGTGAATATCTAGGGCTAAACTACTGAATTCATGTAAAAATCACCTGATATCCCATCTTCACGGCGCTCAGCACAAGGCTTCCAAGAAGTTGTGGCAGAGTAAGGATTTTCCCAAAGTGAAGGAGGTTCCTTAACCTAAAACATAGAAGCTGGTAAAAAAGCTAGCAGACTTTCATTAAAAACACTCAAATGAGACAAAAAAGAAAGAAACTTCAAGAACTTACATGCGGACAATTCAGAACAATGCCATCTTTCTTACACAGGTATGGAGCATTCTACAGAGAGAAAAAAAATTAGTAGCTAAAATTAAAAAAACAAATGCAAACAAATTCCAAAATCGAAATCCAAAAGCTCACCAATCGATTAAAGATGGAGAAAGCGGAGATCAATACAACGATAACAAAAACAGAAATGAAGATTAACGAGATCTTGGAGTTGAAAGGAGAAAAAACCCTAGGATCGTCACTTAGAAATGACCAAAAGGGACGGTCACGATCTCTTGACAAGTGATGGCGGTGATCGTCGTCGTGAGTTGCACCGTGAATGAGAGGTGAGGCGTCCTCGTCACGCTTCATTGGTGAGGAAGAGGCTCGAGCTCCCAACGAGCTCGAGTGCCTCAGCTCCGCCATCGCTCTCTTTGGACTGTAAGCCAGCTCTGCGGGTGATGATGCTGAACCACCTCAAGGCATTCCCGTGACTTGAGGCGAATAATAATCAGATTTCGGATAGAATACAAGGACATTTTAGTCATTTAAATAACAAATACAAACGATGCGTTTTGCTTGCTATCATCCCAATCCCCTTTATTTTGAGTAAATTATAAATTAATTCTCTTATTTTGAAAAAAGAATGAATGAATTTTTTAATTTTAAAATTAGTTATTTTGTCTTGTAAAGTTGATTAATTTAATTTAATATCATTTTATTTTAAAAAAATATTCTCATTAATTTTTAAAATAATATTTTTAAAAAATATTTTTTTCTAAAAAAATAAATTAAAAAAGATAAAATTGATAAAAATAACTTCATAATTAATTTTTAAAACAAAAATAATTAATTAATTTGTTTCTCAAATTAAAAAGACTTAGCTTATAATTTATTCAGATAAATAACTTAATATAATTTTATATAATAGTCTTAATTTTTAATTTATTCTTATGTTTTTAATTGCATGTGTTATATTTTTAAATAATTCTTAATTTTGTAATATGTATTTTTGATTGATTTTTTATTATTATATACAATTTTTACTTGAAACATTCTTGATTGAATAAAAATAAAAATATTTTTACTTATGTGATCTATGTGATTTTTTGTTTTTACATTTCAATAAAAAATTTAGTTTTGGTCAAAAAAATTAATTAAAATAATATACTAAAATAATATTGAAAAATATAATAAATAATATTAGAAATGGAAAAAAAAATAGAGAACTCAAATTATTATTAAAAAAAAATTAAATTAATCTATTTGCCCTAATTCACTCCTTTCCTTTCCATAAGAAAACAAAGGCAAAACCGTTGGCTACTGGCTTGCAACTCAACTCAAGGGGATTTGAGAAATGAACGCGATAGCGAGGCGAGCGTCCAATTTCTTGAGGCGGCTGCCGAGTCAGGGAGTTAGCTTAGTGAGTCAAGGAGAACATCAAATACAACAGTGGAGGGGGATCAGAGTGAAGGTAAGAAATGGGAACTTGGAGCAGGCATTAAGGTATATGCAGTTCAATATGCAATCGAGTGGGATGGAACGCCTAATAAAGAGCAGACAGACTCACCACCTTAAGAATTCAGAGAAGCGAATTTTGGCTCGCAAAAGGCTTGAGCACAGGATTCGCTCTCAAGGAATCTCTCGCAAGCTCCAGATTATCCTCTGCAATAAAGTCAGGTACGTACTTGCTTCTGTTTTGGTTTCTTGAAAAATTGAATTGAATTCTATCTATTATTTTGGGTTTTTTAACTGTGATTTTTGGGAGGAGATTTTGAAATTGTGAGTAAAACCTTGATCTCACACCTAATGGACATTAATTACAGATTAACCTAATAGGAAAAGAAGAGAAAAGCAAACAAAATAGAAGCATCAGTTTTTTTGAAAATAGGTGTTATGCATACATTCTATATTTACTCCAAATTGCATGATGTTATGCCACTTATTCAGCAGCTAGGAATGCATATTGCAGATTAAAATCTGAAGCTTTGTTTAGGGGATGTTAAAATAAATACAGGAGTAGGAGGAAGACAATTAATACAGAAAAAGTAGATAAAGCATGTTAAGACACTGACCTACACCTGTCCATATGGTGCATCTTTGGAGAATTCACAGCCATGTTTGACATGGGTGAAGCCATATGGTATTGTTCCAAGTTATTTGAGATCGATTCTCATTTAGAATCGAGATGATAACGAAATTGAAAGGAATGGATAGTTATTCCCATATTCAAGGATGCAATAGGCCCAGAAAACGGGACATGTGTGAATATTGAATGGGCTGCTCTAATACTAATAAGCTTCTATATGATGCTTCTAACCTTATGGTTCACAATTAGCTGCTGGCTTCCTGTAGAAGTCTATTGTCAGTTACTGTCGTGGTTCCCTGGTTTTGCAATAACGAGAAGCACAGTTTGCAAAAAGTTTTCTAAATCACGCCATGATTAAATTTCACTCTTTTGTCTCTGACCATTTCTGACACCCATTTATCTCCATACCTTCCTGGCCCAATTGATAACTAGTGCGAACCACATACGCTACACACATGACTGACGTGTGAGTTGCAGGCAAGTTATCAAGAAGTCCATGATAATTGGACTTTCAGTAGCACACACCAGATCAAAGCAGGGTATTCACACAAGAAATCATCTGCACAGTGTACACTGGCAAATGTGTGCTCGGTGTGGTGCTTTACCTGTGTGTGCTGTGGAGACGCACAAAAACCACGCATCTTATTTGATGTGTGATTTATTAGGATTCTAGCAATATTATGTCATAAGTGATTGTTTGATATGCTTAAGTACACAGGTATCCAATCTGTTCAATTAAAAAAACAAGCCTAATATGTTGATGGTTGGTCCTTTTAAGTTTGGGTTTACCAAAATCCTAAATTTGGGAAAGTTGATAATTGTTCTTCAAGTTTCTCCCTTTTGCGAACCTTTTTCCTTTGTGACATTTTACTACACCCGACTAACCATACAATCTTTATTGATGATATACTGATTAATGTTTCAGGGGCCTGTGAGAGAAGCTTTGAAGTACCTTTATTCGTGATTAAGAGTTTGATTAACCAGCAGGCATCTTTTCAGCCTCTAATGAACTTCAGCTATAAGAACTCTTTTTACATTCACTTGGCTGTCTGTGATGCCTTCATCATCCAATATAACTCTGTTTGCATTAGCTGAATGTTGGGTAATTTTTTGCATCTTTTGACTCTTTCATCATGTGTTTTGAATGGAATAATCATTGAATGGCATATGGATGGGTCTTCTTTTTTTTTTTTCCCGAATTGGCAACCTTTTCACGAGCTCAGATTCTTCTGTGAATTTGTACCACGGCCTGTAACTTGACATGAGAAGTAGAGATTGCATAAAGATGGGGGGAAAGGTGTAGAAGTTATTATTTGCTACTGTGAAACTGCATTTTGAACCATGCCTAATGAGAGGGATCTGATAAATTATTCTAAATGAGTGCCTGGACAATTGCAGTGTTATGCAATTATTGAAAATAAACGTAAGGACTTCGGTCTTGTGCCTTTCCTTTTAATCCTACTGCAATTCAATAAATTAGATCTGACTTTGCTATTGTGATGATTTCAATTTTGCCCCTGATAAAAACGGAGACTGAAAACAGGTACTACATTTCTTTGTTTTTAAGGTCAGAGAACCTATGTGAGTGAGATATTTGGGTCCAAGGCATCTTGGAAAAAGGAACATAGGTGCCAATGGAGCTATGAACTCTTTACGAACTCGTCATCATATATAATAGGAGGTCTAAAACATGAATGAACAATTGTGAGAATATTGTAGTGAATTAAGTTAAATATGCACTATGGCGATATGTAACTTCTGATTTTTAAAGTTTCTTCGTACTTTTTAAATAATAAGCGACGTTATTATCATGAAGAAGCTAAAATGATTTAGTTTTTCGCTAGAGCTAAGCCTTTGCTACACTAACTTGGAAACAGCTGGGTTTTGAACCTTTTGGTTTGGAACCGAAACACGTTTCATAAAAAGGTAAACTGGTTTTCTGAAAATGATTTACTTTGATTCTTGATGTTTTAGATTTGTATAAAATAGTCCTTCAGCTTCATTTGTGTTAGAATTCGGTCCTTGAATGTAAAGAAAGGAGAGAAAGGGGTCGGTTTTTTGGGTTTTATGATGAATTAGGACGAGTTTTGAGGTTTAAAATGACTTTTTTATATGTTGTTAGGTTTTTAGGTGAAATTGATTTACAAATTGGAGGTGGAAGGCCAGAAACAGCAGCTTTCGATTTTTCAACGAGAAAATAGTCACCGAAATGTTATTGAAAATTCCAGATTGCAGCGTTGGAAATTAACACCACCGCCTGCAACACTAGGAGAGACGAAGCGTCGTGCGTCCTTTTTTTTAAAAAAAAAATTATAACCTTAGGCCGCACAATGCCAGCTCAGGCATGCGAGCCTAGGGCGCGTAGCGACCCACCATTTTTTCCTTTGTTTTTTGTCTTTTCTTTATGTTTTTTATTATTTATTATTTTCTCAATATCACTTTTCTCCAAATGTTTTAATGGGTATTTTGGTATTTTTATACAACCTTTTATGATTTTGAATAACGATAATAATTGTTTTCAAGAATTTAGAATAAATATTTATTTATTAAAAAATTAGAATTATTCGAAAAATAATGATTCTTCATGCAATATTACAAAAAAAAAAATTGAATAATTGCTAATTTTTTATACAATCATAGAAATTTGGTCATTGATAATTAATCAATCTAAAATGTATAGTTTTCGTAAATTTAATGATAACACTACTAATCTATAATAGATATAACAATGATTTTTCTTTAAACTAAATATCAATGTTTACGGTAGATTTACATTTAGAAGAATAAATGGTCTAAATAACAAGGATTTGATCATTAATAATTTATTAGTTTTATATGAATTTTCGGTTGATTATATGTCCCTTCAAAATTTATCATGATTTTTCAACATTTATTAAATAAAATATTTATAATTACATTGATGCAAAAAAAAAATAAAAAAAAATCCAGTGAAGAATAAGAATTTTTTTAATCAGTAGTTATGGACTCGTTGATTGAAGTTTAGTACTCTTCCAACGTGAATTGCTCGACTACCTTTTTATTGTCAATTCTTGCATTCTTTCAACTAAATCAGGTTTTAAGGTGATATAAATAATTGATTGCATGTTTTTTTCTTTCACTTATCAATATCAAACATATACACAAAATAAATTTAAAATCAAAATTTAGATATACGTGATATTAAATCCTACAAAATACAAATTAATTTTTTTATAAAAAAAATTCACAATTAATATAGTTTAATTTTAATTTCACTCACCTACATTTTTGAAATTATTTAAATATCGAAACATATTTTATAAAATTGCTCACAACAACGCATGAGGAACTACACTAGTTTGATCTCAACAGGCGCATCTCCTTGTACATTTTGAAGTGAAAGCATGTTTTATGAGTGCAATTATACTGCAGTTTATAAGGCGAAGCGTCGAAAAGTAAAATTTCTTATTTAACAGCTGGTCGCTGCTTTTAATTATCTCTAAATTTTATATATTTTTACATATCTATAAAACATCTTTAACGTCTCATTATTTTTTAAAAATAAAATACTTTTAATATTTAACCTTCAATTTTTCCACCTCAAATCAAGAACAAACCGTTAACCTAGTAAATGATGGAAGAAGAATATCTTTAAAGAAAACTTAGGTTTTGCGGCTTAACCTTTCTCCCCTCCTCAGTAAAAGTTCTAAACAAAATTAAAATGGACCAAACATCATCATATCAGATTAATTGCATGAAATGTCTCTCTAGTCTTTTAATTTTTTTTAATGTAGCTTATGTACTCTTTTTTTATTCATCATGTCACTTTATTTTTGAATTTTTTTAATATGGCTCCTCTAACCATTTTTCAGCTAATTTTCCTATCAAAATTCGCATTTATCATAAAAATATTTCATCATGTGTCATAACACGTCATACAAATTTGTCACGCAACAAAAATAAAAAGCAAAAAATTAAAACTATCCTCAAACACCTCAAAAAATTTTAAAAATGCGAATATTCAATACCCCTTAATATACTAGCATCTTTCTTAAAAATCACAAGATTGAGAAAAAAAAAACCACATCTAGCCAGAATTTCAATGAAAAAACACCACCAAGCTAGCACAATAATCACCAATTCAAACCACTGCAGGTTGAAAATCCATACCATCAATTAATTGAAGCTGCCATGACTGTCAGATTAATTATTCACGTCATCAACATGAATCAGACATTAACATCATGTGCTCTTCCATTGCTGTAGATCTCGTCACTAAAATGATGATGATGTCATTTGATGTTCTCATTCTTTTTTCATTAGAAATTTTAAGATCTCTAAGTTGGATCACATGTATTTATGTTACAATAACATGAGGCATTTCAGAAAAAAAAAAGGTACTTTTACTTTCTCTATTTTAGCTATTCAAAATCCTAGTTTGCCAAACAAGCCATCTCTAACGAGGATTTGAGAGACGACTAGGTTTTCCAACCCCCCGCGGCTCTTTTTTTGGGTAAATTGTTGGGTTTTGGGTAAGATTTCAAAAAATTCATAAGTTGGTATGGACTATAGTCTTGCATGTTTCGTTTTAATTTTTTTTCTTTTTTTGTAAATTGTTGGGCTTTGGGTCTTACATGTTTCAAAAAATTCATAAGTTAGTATGGACTATAGTGTTACATGTTTAGTTTTAAAAGAGGTTAAATACATTTTGTGTCCTTATACTATTTTAAAAAATTCATTGTAACCCTCTATTCAAATATAGCATACCAGATCTTATACTGCTTCACATTAGTATAAATTAGCTCCTCCATTAACTCCATTCATCAGATTAACCTAATTTCGCTAGTTAACTAACATCCAACTATTCATATGCTGACACATGTCACTTAAAAAATAAAAATATATATATATTTTTTATTTTTATTAACTTAAAATAATTCATAAGTATTATAAAGTCATAAAAAATGAAAAAAATAATTATTTTTTTCAAATTTTTATTAATTTAAAATAATTAATAAATTATTAAGTTAAAATATTATTTTTAACTTAATAAGTTATTAATTCAAAATAAATTTATGATTGTAAAATCATAAAAAAAAATGTATTTTTAATAATTTATTAAGTCAAAATAAATTATTTTAAAAAATTTAAATGATTTCAAAATTTTTAAATTTTTATTAATTGTTTTAAAAATTTATTAAGCTATAATAACTTAATTTAAAAAATAATTTCATATATTATTTTAAAAAACGATTTCAAATTTTTATTAATTTTTTTAACTTAATAAAAATAGAAAGAAACTGATTAGTTATTTTTTAAAATTTTTTATAATACTTATTAATTATTTTAAGTTAATAAAAAATTGAAAAAAACCGATTTAAATAAAATTTATTTTTAACTTTTGCATGCCATGTGTCACGGTGCACCTTATGAATAATCTCACATTATTCTGCCACTCTAACGGAATGATTGATTTGTATCAACATTCAATGATATAAAATTTGTTATACACTGTATCTAGGTGTAGAGGTTATAGCATGAAATCAATAAGTAACTACATTATAAATACACAAACTTTCAACTTTTTTTTAATTGAATATATGAATTTTAATATTTTTAATTTGATTATACCAATTTTTTCAAAATTATCAATTGAGTATTTTTACTAATTTTTTCATTAGTCGATGATGTGTCTATTACTCTTAGAATATCAAATTTTAATTTTAACTTTTTTCTCAATTGAGTATATGAACTTTAATTTTTTTCGATTGAGTACATTAACCTTTTAAAAACTATCAATCAAGTATTTTTATCAATTTCTTTATTAATTGATAATTTGTTTAAGTACAAAATTATAATTTTACTCCTTTTTTGTTCAAGGGAACTTTCTCTTTAAATTATTTTATCATTTTAAAATTTGATAAATAATTAAAAAAATATTTTTTGGTTATAAATTCCAAAATAAACTCGGTTAGGTTGTTGTTAAAAAAAAAACTCAATTAGGTTTAAGAGCGATTTTTTTAAAAAAAAATACAAATGAATTCTCTTGATGAAAAATCTTATATTTGTGTTTTCTTCAACTTTCTGTCCAAAGTTTAATTGATGTCTTTTTTTTTCAACAACAAAGGTAACTAAGTTTAGTTCGAAATTTAATAACTAAGAAATAATTTTTAAAAATTCTTTATCGAGTATAAAATGATAGAATAATTTGTGAAGAAAATTCCTTACAAAAAAGAGAGAAAATATATAATTTGATATTCGAATATGTTATTAATTAATAGAAAAATTGACAAAATACTTGATTGTCGAGTTTTAGAAAAATTGGTATATTCGGTCGAAAAAAATTAACATTAATGTACTCTATTGCGGGGAAAAGAAAAGCAAAATTATAAATTGGTATTATGATGTTAATGGACATGTCATCTTTTAACAAAAAAATTGATAGAAGTACTTGATTAATCGTTTTAAAAAGTTGGTACACTTAAGCAACAAAAAAAAATAAAATTCATATACTTGATTGAACAAAATTGAAAGCTAGTGTATTTATAATGTAATTATCTCTAAAATCTAACATTTTATGGTTTAATGGAAAAAATTGCTCCTGTTCTATTATAATTCGACAATTTCGGACATTTAATATCAATTTGTGTAATTTGAATTTCAGAATATTGATTTTTGGACAAATCTTATCCAAATCGTATTTTTTTTCGTTATTTGTAAATGTCAACCTAGTAGACCATTAATTTTTTCTGCTATTAATTTTTTTTTGCTATTTTTTTTTAAAAAAAAACTTTAAAAATGTTTTTTTCTCTATTTTTCAAGAAAGATTCTTTTTATTTAAAATTTTCATAAATTGATCCCTTTGATTTTTTCATAGTCAATCAAATTATTATTTCTATATATATTTTTTTCAATTTTAAAAAATACTTTTTATGTAGTATCCATTATAATAATCAACTTCTATAACTAATCAAATATAGATATCCATTGATTGCATTTGATCAATTAAAATTATAAAATAATTAATTTTAACTGAATTTTTTTATCATGTCAATAAATTTATTCTTGTGACTTTTAATCATTAAATTTTAAATATAACTCTATTTATTTAATATTTTTTTATCTTCACCTGTTTTATAAAATTTACATTCTCATAATTAATTCAAATATATAATATGCATTTAAAATTATTAGCGCTGTTGCCGCAATGAATCGTGCTTTTTCTTCCTTGTTTTTACGATTTAAGCAACTGTGTTTCGGGTTGAGAATTAAGGATATGCATACATACATGTTGAACACAGGTAAATACTGAACAAGCTGGAAATGTTATTTGTTCAGATGACTTCAGTGTTTAGAACACCGGGGAGGAAGAGGAAAAGGGTAATGTTATTTGTTCAGATGGCTTTTTAAAAAACTTTTGTAATTTTATTTTATTTTTAGTTTTTTAAAGATAGGTTCAAAAAGTCAAACATTTTTTTCAGAGAGAACTAAAAAAACATTTAATGATAAATTTAATGAATTTATTTATAAGTAGATGGATGAAAAATTCTCTCTTGAAAAATGAAAAAAATATATTTTTAACATTTATTTTTTTAAATAATAACAGGAGAAAAAATTAATGGCATAAAAAAATTAACAATCAACTTATAGATAACAAAGAAAATGTGATTTGAATAAAATTTGCTTAAAAATCAATATTTTAGGATTCGAAAGAAGTAAATTGATAATAAATACCTGAAATTGCTCAAGTGTAAGACAAGGGGAGCAATTTTTACCATTAAGCCGACATTTTACAGTCTACTGGCTTCAAACCCCCATGCCACGGAGAAAGAGGGTTTAAAATTGCCGGTGTTGGCAACCCCAGTCCTGCTTGAAGTCCTCCCTCCCTTGCCCTCTATCTCTCTTGTCAATCGCTCCGGCGATGGAGACGGTGAGGCTCCGTTTAGTGCTGGACAGCGCTTTGACTGCGACGGCAGAAGTACTTAAAAAGTGCTGGATTCTCTTAAAACCCCAACACAAAACCATCTCCGATCTCTCCTCCCATATCCTCAACGTCTTCGACCTCCACAATGCATGTCCTCACGGCCTCCTCCTCTCTGTAAGTATTTGCTGTCTCCTTAATATTTTGCAAATCTTTTTTACCAGTCCTTAATTTTTTTTTCTTCCTTGTGATTTTGTTTGCGGTTACAGATGGAAGGGTTTGTACTACCGCCTTTCGAGTCCACTTGTATTTTGAAGGACAAAGATATTATCAGGTTAGTTAAAAGAAAATAAATCATTTTTTTTATTATATTTCTGTGGAAAATAACGATGTGTGCTGCTTTCATTACATGATGTAATGTCTGTAACAGAGTGAAAAAGAAAGGCAGCACGTCTACTGAAATTATCAAGATAGATGATGGGCTGAATGATTCCTTGAATGTGGTGGAAATAATTGACAAGCCACAGGTAACTAGAGGCATGAATCTACTTGCGAATGAGGAATTTGATAAAGAATCTGGTGGCTATGAAAGTGAACCAGAGGAGGATGTAGAAAACAGTCCAGAAGTAAAAACAGTTTCGAAGAAGAGAAAGGCATCAAAGGATCTTCACAGCCCAAAGTATGTTTTCTGTGCTCCTGCTCAAAATGGAATGAAAAATAAGAAAAATTTAATATAGATCTTATGATGCACAGAACCTTTATCACCCGTTTTGCACTGTTGGTAGCATATCTGTAGTTAGTCCTTTGGGTGTAGAGACACTGGCTAGTGACATCATTTTATCCGTAACAAATTTCAAGGATAAATAGTCAGTTTAGAATGATTTCTTGTAAAATGATTATACAATGGATTTCTATACTACAGGAGGAAGAAAAACAAATCTGCTAGAGCTGAAAAATGTGTAGAGGTTTCAGAAAATGCAGGGACTAGTGCCAGTGCAGACCAGAATGGCACTTTGAGCATTGATAACGTTGATGAAAGAAGTAGCAAGAGTAGGAAAGCTATGTCTGACACTAAGAAGTAAGTTCTGTAAACTTCTTATTGCAATTATGCACCTTTTTAACTGTAAATTTTTCTTTATACAAGCTCACTATTCAGTTTTGACAATCCTTTTATACTGCAGGAGGAAGAAAATTAAATCTGCTAGTGCTGAAAAATATTTGGAAGCTTCAGAAAATTTAGGGGCAACTGTCTGGGCAGGGCAGAATGGCACTTTGAGCTTTGTTAAAGCAGATGAAAGAACTTGCAAGAGTACGGAAGCTACATTTAATGCAAAGAAGTAAGTTTTGTAAAATCCTTATTCACGTGTAATCTTGTTTTTCTTCCTTAGTAGGTTCCTAACTATAAGATTTTCCTATTTATCTGAAAAAAAAAAAGGACTATGAGAGATTCTTCATAATCATTTGTTGTTGGTCGCACCACTAAGTTTTGAGCTATGTGTTATTTCACACTTAAGTTACCAAGAATTTCAATTATTGTGGCCACTTGGAATGGGAATGGCGTATGACCTATCCCAGAACATCGTTCAATGAGGCTAGGATTATATACAGCATTGCATTGAAGGATTGCTTAAATACAAGCCAAATGCAATAAGGTAGGCATAAGCAACGCATGTCTTATGTGTCCCTTTTCCCAAAAACTTGTTACTACCAAAAACTTGTTACTATGTTTTGGATCAGCAATTCCAAATCGACTTCGCTAGACTAGTTGCAAGACTTTTAAGGCATTCTGTCTTTTCATCCATTCTGTGTACACCGTTTTCCCTAGTTGTGTCTATTTATCATTGTCTGGCGAATGGGATGTACCTCAATGAAGTTAACGAGGAGCTATTTCCAACCCAAGGAACATGCTATTCGGAGAGAAAGAAGATTTCTAAGTCTTGTTTAGTTCCTCGACCAGAACTTTAATTGAAATTCTACTCATATTTTGAAATTTATGATCCACTTATCTAGAAATGTGAATACATGATATGATGATCAGTCCCTCTTGTATGACATGACCATGCAAAAATATTGCTTGTTCATGAGGTGATGCATCTTTATAGCTCATGATGTCTTTGATTCTTTTCCTCATTTTTTCCTTGGTTTACTGAATATCTCTTTGCCCTTCTGCTTTGTAGGTCTTGCCAGCCTGAACAAAATGGCAATGGTAGTGTGGATGCATTGCATACACTTTCTGGATCTAAAAAGGTTTTGATCTACCATTTTACTGAATGCATGGCTAATGTTTGTGTGTTTTTAATTCTGAGTTGTGCTGTAGTTTTTCATCTAGGAATTGTGTGAATCTCAGCATGATGTAATGATTTCTGCCACCTGCAACTTTTCATTGTGCAAAAGATGTCCATTGTTGCAAATTCGATTTGATTAATATAAAGGCTTTGCCATTTTTTTCCCCATCACATGTTATTAAAACTTGTCTAAACCCCATCCATTGCATAGTATTAAACATGTTCTGTGAATGTTTTTGTGTGTAAGCTCAGCTCTCTTTCTGATGGCAAACAACCATAGTTGTGCATCTATATATGGAGGAGTCTGTTCAGTTAAATTATCAGATTCTAATACTATGAGTGTACTTGCTCATAAAACTCTGCAGAAGAAACAATATCATGTATTCCTATTCATTGCCTTTTTTATATGGAGGAACATATAGGACTGATGCATGGATAGTTACGATTCCCTTACAGAACACAAAGTGACAATTTAGAAAACACGAACTTTAACGGTAATTGTGAAAGAAAAGGACAAGAAAGGGATTAGAGTATTTGCATGCTTAAAAGTTGACTTTATCATTTAAAGCTATCTGAACTATTAGGCTAGGGGTTTGGAACTTCTTCATCACTTGAATGTCCAATGTGTTTTTAACACTTGCATTCCCCTTTCTTGTCAGTTCCCCAGTAGAAGTGCTAGGCGTAAAAAGGCCAAGAGGCAGTGGTTGAAGGAACAGCTCAAAGCTGAAAAGAGAAAGGTACGGTTGGTGTTTGTTAAGTTTCCAACCCAGTTATTCTGATTGTATTTATGTGGTTTTGATGTTTTGCTTTTGGGCTTGGCTCAAGTGCTAACGGGTCTCACAAAAATGCATGCACAACACTCACTAATATATATATATATATATATATGGGTGATGTTGGTGGGAAAATGAGTCTTTGGCTACACTGTTTTGTTTACTATGTTGAATTCTACAGCAAAATCAGACACAGTTGCTTTCAAAAATCAATCAGCAATCATCTGAAGAGGATAATAAGAATGTTTCTGAAGAATCACCCGAACCAGGAAGTAACAAAATGTCTGATGAAAAACTCAGGGAAGACAATCAATTGGGAGAGCGAGATAGTGATGCAGAGGGTGATATTGTTCCCATAGTGATAAGGCCAGGACATATTCGCTTTGAGCCACTAAAGAAAGGTCTGATGCTCTGTGTGTGTCTGTTCTTCCTTTTATGTGGTTGAAGAGTTCTATATTTTTATCACACAGCTGTTCCAAGCGATTAACAATTTTGTTTACTGTAAATACACCATTCAATCAAGTGATATGCCTACATTTTTGTTCTTCCAGGGGGTTCTGATCAGGCTGTGCAGCAAAATCACGTTCCTGTTGTATGTTTCATTTACCCATTTAATTTTTCAATGTATTCCTGTCTCTATACTTATGTCTTGAATACCCTGTACGTTGATGAGAGATATTTTGGCATGCATTTTTCAATGCATTTCTTTAACCACTTAAGTTTTGCAAGTAAAACTTACAAACCATTTCCCGTGGAACATTTTAGCTCTCCCTCATATTCACTTTTGTAAGTTCTAAGCTGTTTGTTCTCTACATCTCTATAATCCTGTTTTTCTTCTGCATGCCCTACAAGTATGTCATGCTTTGTGAGGGGGTTGTACACAGGGGAGTGCTAAAATGTTGTGGATAAACGGTTTTTTGTAAATTTTCAGGAACTGCATTGAAATAAGATTTAGATGCATAGATGTTTTTATAAAATAATCAAACAGTTTCTGAGATTTGAGTGTTCAATTTTTTATGATATCAATGTGAGTGCTACACTCATATTTTATCATAGCATCACTTTTTCTTAGCTTCAATTGATTTTAAATTTCTGTTCTCATGTCCTGGTTCAGGAAACATTTCAGTGGAATGGAATAACAAGCAAAAAGATGGGTCAAAGGTGGGGTAAAGAGAAAGCAGTGTCATGTAAAAGGAATGATTATAACAATTTCAAGAAAGAGTCTTCCAGCAGTCTTACTATTGAAGAACAGACACCTGTATATGATTGCACCAACTTTGAAGAGTTTCCACTCTATGCTAGCTTGCCAAAGGTTTGTTTCTCTTAAACTTCATCGCAATTCGTTGCATTAATATCTATATCTTTCTATTGTAGAAAACATAACAGTGGCAACTGGGCTAGCAACCGCTAATTTACTTTCAAGACCTACTCAGGATCATTGGATTGATCTCCTATACTTCTATTTGTCTTGATAGTGTTCTAATTTTGCAAAGAGCATAGTCCAAATTTGTTTATTTTTTGGAGGTTAAAGCATCTTTTGTCCTTGGAATTTTGCAGGAAGGTGATGTAATTGCTTATCGTTTGGTTGAGCTTTCATCATCCTGGACCCCTGAGCTCTCATCCTACCGTGTAGGGCTTCGTTTGCAATAAAACTTACCTTTAACTTATTATTTATTGGCAGAACATACCGTTTATCATGTTCTTTGTCCATAGGTTGGAAAGCTATCAAAATATGATCATGAATCCAATATAGTTATGCTGGTCCAAGTACCAGAATATCCTGTAATTCCTGAGAAGATAGATGATGAGGCATCTGCTGCACCACCAGAAACATCCCCTTATGGGGAAGATGGTTCTTTAGAGGTATGTTAGCTTTGCATTTCTTACATGTGTGTATTTTCTTTTGGGTGAGTGGTGGGCCTTTATTGGTGATGAGGCATCGGTGTGTGTGTGTGTGTGTGTTTGTGTGGAGGGGTGTGTTTAGTGAATGCAGACTATTTTATATAAACCATCACATAATTTGGATGAGCTTCCCAAAACTCGAGGAATCTGACTAAATTGATTAAGGTGTTGTTCTTTAGTTTTGAACTGCTTGATAGATGGATTTGATTAGGTTTTGCATCTGTTGTGTTATTTCCCTGATTTGCATAATGTTCAGGTTACTAGATCAAGGCATGGGCATAATCACGGTCTAGTTTGCATTTGCCTAAATGATAGATTTCGTAACCTTAGGCCAAGCTTTTTCTTTCTTGATTAAGAAAGTTGACAAGCAAAGCTCTCCTCCAGATAAAGTTTTCAACACTTCATGAAGTTCGCCTTGTTCACCATGGTTATCTAAAGTCAGCAAAATCAGTTCCTGCTGGATCTAATGAAGTACATGTCAGGGATCAAGATTCTGGAACAGGTTTCAGGCCCAACAATAACCACAAAGCTGATACTTCTGTGCAAGGTATTAATCCCAACTATTTTTTGCACCAAGAACTAGGTTAATTATTGTGTGCAAAGAGCAATGATAACAATATGGTCAACGTAGACAAGTTCACTTGCCTTTTTTTGTACATCAGAAAATGGAAAACGTAATCCATGGGAAGAAATTAACCAGGCTTTGACAGCACAGAAGGCATCGCTGTCTCGGGAGGATAGTTGGAAAAAAACAGAGAGTTCAGGCAGGAGTCCATGGTCCTATAAGGCCTTGAGAAGCAGCGCTCTGGGTCCAACAGTTGCTTTATTAAGAGCACAAAATGAATTATGATGAGGACAAAATGAAATGAATAGCATGGCTTTGCATTTGCCATCCACTTAATTTTGCAACTTCAAGGCGGGTGAGCATTTGACTGATGATATGCCGAATTTTGCTATAGGTACATGTAATGAAAACATGTAAGGATATTTATGGCGGAACTTTTTTGTATAATGTCGTCTCTTACGTGCAACTAGTGTTTGGCATGCGAAGGACTAGCTTGCGGTGTTTTTCTTGGTTTATGTTTTATTTTAACTTTTTATTAACTGTTTTTTTTTTTATATCTGTTTTATTTATTACTTAACTTTTTTTTTTATAGGTGTCTTGCAAATTCTATAATGAGTTAGTGAGGTTTTGCAGATTAAAGTCTTGCAATTGGATTGTTCAGCTGTCAATTTGTCAAATACGTGTGTGTGCTTATATGCATATAATAAAAAAATTGTTCTTGCAATGTTAGGGGATCAAAAAAGTCGGCTTCTGAAGAGATTGCTTGTGAAGAGTATAATTTCAATAAATTTAGTTCATAAAAAAAAGCGAAGAATTCAATAAATTCAGCCTATAAAAAATATTTGAAGAGAATAATTTCTTGTTCTATATTAAAAATAACAGTTAATCATAATTCTCATAATCTTCACGTATAAACAAACATCAATCTCAATGCCTTAATTATATTCTAATCTAACTATTGTGAGATGCATTTTCACTGGGAGCTGTGATGCTATTTTGCTTGTAGGAGTCACGCTCACGTCTTGTTGCGGAAAAAAGTTTCGACTTTCGAGTGGCCAAAAAAAAAAAAAACTGATGCAAAGAAACCAATAGTTGATGAAGTAAATTATATATGAAAAGCTGTAATATGATTTTCAAAATTCATCAAATGATTAATGAGCTTCTTTTTTTTTTTCCATAATTAACAAACTAATTGATAAAGACGCAAACAATCAATGTATAATATGGTATGCGCGATTTCTTAATCAAATAAAGAGCAACATAAGTAGTGAAAAACAAATGGCAGGCACACAACACAGCTTTGAAAAATAATATACCATTGCATAGCTTGTCATGCTCCTGTATTAAGTGAAAATATTATCCAAGGATTGTTATTGGTGACACATTACGTGTTTTGTCAAAACAAATATTAGCTTAGCATGAGTTCTGTACGATAATAGTCTGATACAAGAAAGCATACAGTACTTAACATTTTGGACAGAACACCAGAAGCTAGCTTATTAAAAATCTAAGAGTTAACATACCATATGGTATATTATTAGTAAAAAAAAAAATAAATAAAAATAAATAAAAATAAAAAAAATCTAAAAACAAACAGCGTCATAAGCCACTCACTTGAGCATTGTACAGTTCCATATATAAATTGCCTTTCTTTTCCAACTACAAAAATCAATAGTTGTTTAACAACAACATAGGGGAACAACCTATAGTTAAAAAAATTACAAAGTTAATCAACAATTAAAAATGAAATTCATGAGAAACTTCGTTAAAAAAAAAATAAAACACAAACCCTTTGAAAAAGATTCAAGGGGGGAAAAAAAGCTAAGAAAGATATCTTATGTTCTTAATTGGGGTACTGAGGTTCTCCCTCTCTCTCTCCATCCTCCTCTTTTGCTTCTATCAATTCATTCAAAATAAAATCTCATTCTAAAAAAATAAATACATATTTAATAATAGATTTGTTAATTTATGGAAGTGGTTGATTAATAAGAGCGATGAAATTCTTTTAGTTGGATTTTATGGTGGAGATAGGAAAAGAAGGGGAGAAGGAGGCTTGATGAAGGGAGAAAAATGAGATTATATTGGTTGAATTGGCGTTTATGATTGTTGGGGCTTCAAATGTATGGTCAAAGGTTTTTTTTTTATTTTTTAGAAAAACAAAATGCTCTTGGTAAACCCCATTAAACGCAGACAACTTTCATTTTGAAGGGAAAGACTGAGGCGTTAATGTTTGATTAATTTTGTTTCTATATTTATTTCAATTAATTATAAAATGCATTATAGATGATACGTAAAAGGAAGAGACATCTAATATACTCTCTCTCTATTTATCTAATCCCACTCGAATTATTTAATTCTCATTCATGGCATATATAAATATTACACTTTAACTCTATATATTTTCAGTTTTTTATTAGTTGGAGTTGCTGATGCATCAGTTGATCGTAATTCACTTTCACTGATTTTTTTCGTCAGTTTTATGTGTATGTAGCAGATAGTGTTGTTCGAGTAGAACTTCTTTCTGTCAGTGATCTCCTTTACGCAGTGCGGTCTTCTATCAATCACAACATTCTCACTGAAGGAATGCGATTTTTCAGAAAAATATGACAGATCATATCCTTTGTACATTACCACTATAGCTGCCAGTTACAATCATGCAGAAAAATATAACATAAATTCAACGTACCTATAAAATTTATGACTTTATGCTTTTTACGCAATTTTGAAAAACACACACATCTTGATTCATAATTTGATTTTTAAATCAATATTGAAAAGTAAATAGGTGAAAATCTCTTTCTTAATGGTGAATATTGATATATTTTTTAGTTTTTTTTTTTTAATTAAGAGCAAGAGAAAAGACCAAACTCCTTTTATAGTCTTTCACTCAATTTTCCATGATTATATGAATATAAGTATCATGATTAAACAAATATATGTATCATAATTAATTAGATACATGTTTCATCATTAATTATATATGTCACAATTAATATCATGTATCTTGGTTGATATTATGTATCTTAAATAATTAGCTACACTTTAAATATAAATGTATCATAATCAATGCATATATCATATGGATCACAATTAATTTTATCATGTGAGTCGTAATTAATATTACATTCTTCTATTTGGCCCATATAATATTTTCTTTATGATTTCATAGGAACATAATATGTAAAATTATTGATTATATTATTATTAAATTAAAATATTAATACAAGTCTAGCCGTTGTATGTAATTTTCCCGACACATTCTCTTTCATGTACCATAACACTAAATTTCAATTTAACATGATCTTCAATGAGGATAATAATAGTCCAAATTTAATATCTTTATTATAAGATATTTTTTCAATATTTTTCTTGTTAATAACAAATTTCTCCCCGATATTTTCTTTATTATTATTATTAAAAAATAATAAAATAAATATAAACAAAACAAAAGAAAACAAACCCAAATATAAAAAAATAAAAATAAAAAAGAAATCAGTTAAAATAAGTAGCTCAAATTAGTTTTGGGAGTTCTAATTAAAAAAACAAAATAGAAAGTTTGAGAACCAAAAGAAACTCGATCGTGCGTAAAATTAAAAAGCCAAAAACCACAAATCCTTAAATTAAAAAAAAAAGAAAAGAAAAAAGAAGAGGGATACAATTGGAAGAAGTTTAAGAAAAATTCCTCATTAATTGTCATTTGGGGACGCCATCGAAATCCAAACAACTTAAATTGCATTTAATCCGATGAATTAGGAGGAATCGAGGATCGAAATCGATTTTTAATCAAAAATCCTAATTTTCACCTATAAATACCTATTTTTTTCTATACACCAACTATCCATCATGTCCCCCAAAATTTTCCAATCACCATTTCCCTCTTTAGCTAAATTTTTGGACTCCCTCCATCATTCAAACCCACTAAATACCATCATTTCTCCATCATCCATGCCATAACCACCCATCAAACCTACCATTAGCCTTCTCCCCTAACTCTCCCAACCAATATAGCACTTCTACACATCTTTCCAATCACCATTTCCCTTTTTAGCTAAATTTTTGAACTCCCTCCATCATTCAAACCCACTAAACACCATCATTTCTCCATCATCCATGCCATCACCACCTATCAAAACTACCATTAGCCTTCTCCCCTAACTCTCCTAACCACTACAGACACTTCCACACATCTTGTCACCTTCCATCACCCATACATCAGCCACAAAAACCTCTCACAAGAACCCCCACACAAAAAAACCAAAAAAAAAAAAAAAAACTACCAAACACACCTTTACTCGAATAGCAAACCCGTTTACCACCAAAACTTACCGAAGTTCTCCTTTTAAATCAATTGTCATTTAGTCAATATTACCTTTAACCACCTCCATCAAGGGATAACCCAACTCTAGATCAACCCATCCCTACTAGTTAGAAGTGTAGAGGACGTTAAAGGAGGGAGAAATCAAGGGTAGAGCCATGGTGACACGATTCCATATCCGATTGAATCTCCCATTTTCAATCAAACTACTACCTTCCACTACCACGAAGTGGTCGTCCCCCTTCCGGAAGTGGTGCCCTCTTGAATTCATGGTTCAACGTCATTGAAAAATAATGAATTGACACCAAACTCGTTTGTAAAGATCCGATCAAATCGGACCTCTTTACCACCATAAAAACACTCCCCATAGCCTTTCGAGTCGATTGGTGACCTCAAAACCTCTTAATCTCTTTGAAATCTTCATCTAAGAGAGAGAGAGAGAGAGAGAGAGAGAGAGAGAGAGAGAGAGAGAGAGAGATAGCCAAACTTCTAAGTAGTTGATCTTCCTCCTCTATCAACAACGATGACTGCCACCACTACAAATAAGTCGACGATAGATTCCTCCATCGTGCGAGCTAGTTCATGCACTTAAAAGACCATCGGATGGTGATTGGGTAGTTGGTAGTGATCTGTTGGGCTTTTAGGAGCGAGTTTGGTAATTTTGTAATGTAAGGGTATTTTGATAATTTTTACATACATAGGATTTTAAATCATCTTAATCCAATATGTAAAACTCAAGATATGGTTTGAATACTAAGAAGTGTTCTAGACTATTACGAGATCCAAATTCTTGACTCGACTTTGCAACTGATTTTGATAGCCCAAAATAGAATGTATTTATGCATTTAAACCTAATATAGAAAGCCTAAGATGTCCGCTTCAAACTCTAAGATGTCCTCTTTACATTCCGGATCTCTAAGAAGGGGAAATTCTTATATCTTTTTCGAAGGTCGTTCTATTAGCGATTTAATTTCACCTAAGTTAGCTCACTTTTGATCCTTTGCCTCTAATCATCTCCTAAATCACAAAATAAACTTAGTTTAGCACATATAACCTAAAATCCCATCTAAAAGAGTAATTAAGAGAATAAATACATTCAATAACACTCATTATCACCTATTATATAAATGTTTGATAAAGGAAAAGAAAAGTAGGTATATAAAAAATCTAAAACAAATCTAAATGATATCCAATATTTAAAATTAAACGATAAGTGTTAATGCTTTTAAGTATATATATTTTTTTAATTCTCCATAAGCATAAAATTTTCATTTGACTATATAGTTTGAATCATAAA